TGGCAATGGTGTGGTGAAGGATTCATTTGGAATCCTCACAAACTGGCTTCTTCAGCTCATACATCCTAAAATGTCAGCATATATGTTGGTGAGTGTAAAGGAAAGAGTCTACACTGTTTTATACACTATTGCATACACTATTGTACAATAGTGTCTATACACTATTGAAGAACAATTCAGGAACAGCTGAGTGGAAGGAAGTCTCATGGAGGATCCTACTGGCTATAGCAGTGATTTCTGCGTACAGAGGGAAACAATTCTTGCCAGGGTTCTGGGCATCCTTAGTGGAGGCTTACCACATCTTATTTTGCCCAGCCAGAGGAACTGGAATTGCAGTATTTCAGAGTAAAGATCGCTTCATATGAAATGCTTGGGTCCAAAGTGTCTTAAATGTCTAAATTTTTCAGGTTTTTTGGAATATTTGAGAATCTCTACTCCAAAATTCAAACTCTGAAATGCTCTAAAATCCAAAGCTATTTTGAGTTCAGCACTCAGAATTTCTGACTTGGAAGCATTTCAGATTTTCCATTTAAGGCTGTGTGTGTGTGTGTGTGTGTGTGTGTGTGTGTGTGTGTGTGTGTGTGTGTGTGTGTGTGTGTGTGAAGATATATCTATATCTGTGTATCTTACATGGAGGTTATAAACTCCCTCTAGCCAATCACAGTGAGATTTTCAGAAGAGTTTTCCTGTGTGCCATCAGGCTCTCTAACGGTCTGGTCCATCCACATTATAATAATGACTAAGTCCCACTGAGACTCTGTCAGGCTGATCACTCATAATGCAGAGAAGACACTGAGCATGACCAGAACCCACAGCAATGCCCAGCAAGTACTGCAGCCAAGACGGCCATCATAAAGGGAGATCTTACTACTAACATGGTTACTAGTCAGCTGGGGAGGGCTCCTGAAAGGGGTCACTGATTAAAGCAGTAAATATAAACCACCCAGAGAAAAGGCTATATAAATCCGACTTCTGAGTTTTCTTCCTGAGATCATTATAGCAGTAAGATTTTACATTGTGCATTCTAGGAAACTCTTCTTGTTCTGAAAAGTGTGTTATATTGTCAGTATCTAATAGAGTGCCTAAAAAAATGTATGGGAATGTGGAGTTGAGAGAGTTCAGCTGCACTGGCTAGAACAGAAAAAAATGGGCAGGGCACAGTGGTAGAGTGATATCCGGCTTCCAAACATGGGCAGCCACTTAGGAGTTCCCTATTCCTTTCCCCTTGCACTATTTTTAATTAATCATTTCTTTAATGTATTCATTCATCTGGATATCTTTTGAAGGGGTGAGAATTTTAAAGACAAGGGCCCAAAGGGCACAAAGTCACACAATATCCTGAACTGCGGGGCACAGTCATATCACTATAACTCTGTGACTCTGATCTCACAGCCCTACTCATGATCACAGTCACAGGGCAGGGTGTGACTGAGGGAGAGCGGCAGTTGTGACACACCCCTTTGGAGAGTGGTCTGGGATATTCCCATGCAGAAGAGCACACTATTGTTTCACACACACCCTTCTTATCAAGCCACACCCTCCTCTCTATTCCCAGTGTGACCTTATGTCCAGATTCCCTTTTCAATTGGTCAAGAATTTCATGAATATATACAATGAACTATGATCACACCACCCCTACTGTCTCCCTCCAGCTCCTCTGAGATTCCCCAGCACGCTTCCCCCCAACTTAATGTTGTCTTAAGAACCAGCAACATACACGCTCAACTGCAATCAATCAGCTTTATCCCCCCCCACCATGTGTGTGCATAGGGGTGGGTGGGTGTTCATATATGTGTTTAGGTGTGAGTGTACATGTGTGTTCATGAGTGTGAGGCCAGAGGACAACTTCTTACTGGGCTGAGACTTCCTAGGTAAGCTAGTTGGCTGGTCAGTGACCCTCATGGATCTGCCTGTCTCCACCTCCCCACCACTGAGATAATATATGCGCGTCACCATTCAGTGCTTTTGTGTGCGTTCTGTGGGTTGAACTCAGCCCTCTGTGTAGAAGGCAGACGCTGACAGTGAAGATGTCTCCCCAACCCAATTATAACCATTTTGTAATCCAGGTTTCTAAGATACATTTTTGGTGAGGGGTTACTTCTGACACATATCTGCTATTCAATTAATATATTTTTTTAAATGATTCAGGATTTTTAGTAGCCCTGGTAATGTTTTCTCTCTCTCTCCATGGAAGATTTTGCCCTTGTTTTCTGTTTTCCTCCTAGCTCATTTATTGAGGCAGCTCCAGTCAGCTCAATTGCTAGATGCTGCCTGCTGCTCAAGTTCTTGTCTTAGGGTTAATTTAATCACTATGCTTTCCTCTCCCTGGGAAGGATGCATTTCTAACAGAGTTGCCCTCGATATTTAAGTACTCTTGTTTTCGTTGGAGCTGGCGTGCTCAGAGCGTTAATGCAAACTTGTGCCTGCTCGTTATCTGCAGAAAGCCAGATGCTAAATTAATTTGCTCTTCTCCTGTGTTTCCTACCCCCCATCTGTGTTGTGTTCTGGTGGATTAGGACTTGCTGAGCACCAGGGGCAGAATGGCCACTCTGTTTACCATTGCTCCTTGCTCCAGCAGCCTGGCCAGATATCACGCCCTTTATCTCATGAGTCACGGGAGGCCATGGATACCATCAGCTCCACAGTTAAGACCCAGGGTGTTGTCCACACAACACACTACCTTATTAATGTGCCTTACTTCCTCTCATGGTTTTCAGCTTGTTGGTTTTCCTTTTTCCAGTTAACTCAGTCTGTGGATACTGGTAGCCAGACACTGGTATGCAAAGCCTGTCTTCCCCAGCATTGCCAGGGAGGGAGTGGGGTGGGAGATCCCTGGCTTTCTGTGCACCCTGGCTGGAGGCCTCCCCCCCCCCTCCCCTGCACATGCTAGGTTTCTCATGCCAAGATTTCCTATCATGTGCAGAAATGAGTTTTCTATCACCCCCTCCCGAGACTTCTTCATTGAATACTGTCAATTTATAGTCCTCCCTGCCTCCCATAGATGCCCAGTTCTGAGCTCTGCTGCGTAAATGAAGCTCTTGCCTTTGTAAACTGGGTCAGATTGGGAAATCTTTCCGAATCTACTTTTTGGCCCCTCAGGAACTGAAAAGCATGAGGAACTGGAAAGCAGAGAACCAATAGGCAGTCCTGTAAGGACTGTTCGTGGTTAAATAGCTCAGACAAATACCTGCCTTCAGCATCTTATAAAATGCTACCAGTTGCCAGCGTTTTTGCCAATATTCTCAAACCCACAAGAGACCAGAGACCATCCCTGCCACCTCCAGCCACCATCTTCTTAACCTTCTTTCCCCTTGCCAGAGACATGGTGTAGAAAGAGAAGTAAAGGAGGCTGAGACATGTGGCAAAATATTAAAGCCAGAAAGCATCTGATGAGTGTGTCCTGAGTGCACAATGAGCAGTAGAGCCTAGGGGGAGAGTGTAAATACAGAGATAAGGCAGTAACTAATGATGTGGGTGTGGTTCCAGGTGTGACAGAAGCCATGTGAAGGAGGAGGGTATTAGAGGGGATGGGGTCTCCACAGTGGTGACACTCAGGTTGAGACCCACAGGGAGTCCATGAGAGGAGCCTTACAGGAGCCATGTAGGAAAAGCCAAGGACAGAGGCTTCAGGCAACACACTAGCCTTGTGTATTGTGGTGGCACAGAAGACAGAACTTCCTCCAAGCAAGTTCTGCGATGACCCCATTGTCCTTACCCTTCCTTGACTACCAAGCCCAGCTTCAAAAGATGGCCGTTGTAGGCCATCCACATCCCATGGGGTCAAAGAGTCACTCCCATAGTCCCTTTTCTCTAGGCACAACGACACAGAACTGGCTTTTATCTGGAGTCAACTCAGATATAAAGCCACTGTATGGATAGAAAAACTGGGGAGAGAGCCCACAAATAACTTGTCTAATCTGGTGATACAACTTGGCAGTATTAATATTAATAAATCTGGTGACACAAGTTGGCAATAAAAATCCATTCTTTCTTTAGTTATAAAGTTTGCTTTCTCTAAAGAAGAGGCCAACCCCCTGGGGCTGGCTTAGCCAGCAGCTCAGACTGACATGCTGAGAAACAGGTCTTTCTAACCAGACAATGGCACCATTGGGTTTTAGTGTGCTGATTAAGCACATATCCTGTATTAGGTATATGTTCTGGTTTCTCTATTCTTTCACAAATGGAACCAGATGAGGGAAGTCCCCAAAGGTTGTCTCTGGCAGCCACACTACCGATAGGCACAACTGTTGGGTTTGGGGTCAGGCAGAAGGCTCCGGCACTTGCCTGTCTGTTTTTCCCCAGCAAGAAAAGTCAGAAGGCACAGAGAGGTGGGAGTCTGGATTCCTGCCCAGGAAGTAGAAGTGATTGTTAAATGCCAGAGGCTCTTACTGACCAGTGTGTTAATAGCTCTTCTAGTAGAAAGAAGAATATGTAATGACTCGTGAAGATCTTGTGAATGCCATCAACCATTTAACTATATATCTTGGGGAAGAAAAAGAATCCGAGACCAGAAAGTAAGAAAATGCCATGGAGCAGAGCAGCCTGGGGACAGTTATAGGAGAGAAGAAAGTATTATAAAAGAATGTCTAAACCCATGTGGCATTGGGAAGGGTTAAGAATAGGCAATCACAGTGACATTTCAGTCTAGCACAGAAGATGGAGAAGATTTGGGAAATGTATCTGGGAGCCTTCATCTTGATCCATGGACAGCAGGCAGAGAGGAGGGGAGAGGGAGGAGAGAGAAAAGGAAGGGAAAAGGAGAAGGGCAAGAGAATGTACAAGGGCCTGGTGTGGGCTTTGGAAACCTCAAAACCCACCCCCAGTGACACACCTCCTCCTAAGGGGACACACTTCCCACCCTTCATAACAGTTCCCCTGGGGACTAAGCATGCAGACACATGAGCCTCTGGGAGCCATTTTAATTCAAGCCACCACTCGAACATATTCCTGTATTTTAACTCTGTCTCTCCCTTCTTCCTCCACTTCTTGTGGGGGTCTAGGTTTTGCTGTGCATCACCTACACCCCAACATTTGACCTGAATGGTAGTGCCGTGCTGAAGATCGCAGAGGTGAGTATGCCAGCTGCTCACAGTGGGTCTCTCCCTGACTGGGGATGAGGGGAGTGCTTGTCTAGATCTGAGTTCCAGTAGAGAGACTCTGACCACTTCTCCGATGACTCTGGGGAGTTCCTGCTGGTTTGCTTGGTGGGAAACACACTGGGTGACCGGCCACGCTTACTCCTGATGCCATGGGTCTCAGGACTCTGCAGGCTTGAGACTTTACATATGAGAGCAACAGCAGCAGGCTCCCATGCCACTGCACCTGGGCTTATTCTCTCTGTCTGCTTTTCCCCTAAGAATAATTGCAAAGCGTTTTCTGTTGAAACATCCTGTGTAAGAAGCCAAGTGTGAGATTTATAAAAATGTTTATTGATCCAATTCTGTCTGCCCTGAGAAACGCATTCTGTGGCTGTTATTGACAAGGTCCGTCTTTCCCAGCTGTGCTCCACTAAAGTCACATGTGCCTTCCAGCACATTCCAAAATATGTCCAGCAGAAAACCTGGCTCCTTGAAAGTCTGGCGTGTGCCTTCACGTCTGAAAACAGTGTCCTCTCAGAGCTGAGCTTCACTCTGCCTGCTCGAGTTTTCCTTCCATTCCTTGAAAAGAATGTTTTCAGCATGTGCTTGTTCCGGTAGGAATACATGTTCAGATCATGAAGCAGCAATGCTTCTCTGCATTTGGAAATCATGGGATTCAACCTTTGAGCTACATTTCTGAACATCCGGATAATGTGGAAACTGTTCATTGCTGTCAAAGGAGAAGGAGGAGTTAGCTAGCGCACAGCACACATGAAGCTGCTTTCAATCGTGGATTTGTAGAGATGGACAAACATCACAGGGGGAGGGCATTTATGTGTCTTAGTATATATAAGCTAATAGTGAGTGAGTGTGCTCAGATGCTTTCCTGTTTGGTTGGATCTTGCCACCCTCATCCTGAGGGGGTCTCTTAAGTTTCTCTCTTTTCCCCTCCCTCCCTCCCTCCCTCCCTCCCTCCCTCCCTCCCTCCTAGACTCAAAACCAGCATTCCACACAAATAGTTGTAGGGTAGACAAGAGTACAGTGTTCACCATTGTCTTTTTTAAATAGTTGGGGAAACAACTTAGGAAAAACAAAACAAACTCTGTAAGTCATGTAAAACTCCTCTGGGGATGGCGGGAAGGAATCCAGCTCTTCTTTGGCCTCTCTGTGGTAGACAGTGATGATCATTCAGGATGTCGCTTACCCTGAAACCTGTTGATCAGGAAGTGAGATGTGTACTTAAGTAGAAAAAAAATGAGCCTATTTTCCGGAGGTGCTGTTGAGACTCTGAAAGGATCATTAAGCTTTCAGAATGTAAATATGAAGGCAATCTTGGTCTGTGTGTCGAACAGGAGTTCGCTACATTAACCTCTAGTCAGAAGAGGTCTCCACAAGCGTACCTTCTGTGTTACATGAGGAATTTAATAAAACGAAAATGATCAGATTTGTTAAACGGGCAATTACAAAATAAGCAAGCATTGTTAGCGATTCAGCTTCATGCCTGTCATTACCAGTCCTCCACATGGGCGCACAGTCCTGATGGTCAAGGTTAAACCAAGGTTTCTTTTAGCATTGTGCATAGGTTAGGAGACATGATGCGTTTTCCAAAGACAGTCACTCCCTAAATATAGGGAAAGACCGAGGGCACAGAAATTGTCAAGATCTTCCATAAAAGAAAAGGCGAATCATAGCCAAAAGCAGTCTAAAGCTGATTTGAATTATGTATTTGATAGTTTGGCCTTATTGATTCCTAGGAACTTCTAGTTCCCCCCCCCACCCCCCACCAAAGCAAGCTTGTTGATCTCAGGGAAAATCTCTTTCGGAATCATCGTTGTTAGGTCTTGTTTGCTAACAATCTTATTTCTAAGGATTTCCCTTTATTACTCCTCTTACCCACTCGTCTGTCTTTTCCAAAACAATGATTAATAAAAGCTATCTGTCATCAGGTCCCTAGAGCATGGCTCTGTATCTTCGTTCTCCTTTACTCTCTACTCCACCCCTGCTAAATAAAGAACCCCAAGTCGAGTAAAGTTAATTTTCCTGCCCTAGTTTCTGCAGCTTGCTATTTTTTCTTTTTTATACATAATTTCTTTATTTGTTCTTTGGAAATTTCACATCATTCACCCGAATTCTGCTCACCCCCAGTACCCCCATATCCTCCCTCACCCCTGCAGCCCCGTCCTCCAGAAAACATAGACTGGATTGCAAGCACGTGCTGCTGTTAACCACTCTGCTATGATGCTCACTGGGCACCATCAGTCTTAGAAAAGGACGGCCTTTCCGTAGGTGTTTAATTAGATAATTGAGACATACTGTTTTTACAGAGGAAGTTAAATAGGGATGCAGTTAAGTTTTGTGACCATGGATTCCACGGCTGTTGGCAATATGCGGACCTACCTACCACCTTGAACAAGTTCAGGCCACAAAAGTGAGGAAATGTTCTCTGGGGTTTCTTCACAGCCCGAAGCCCTTTCCTTTTCCTTTCTACCCTGGGCTCCCATCTCTCTGTTGGTCCTGGTTTGACTCCTCTAGCCTGTCTGTTCATGGATTACTTACTTACTTACTTGTTACTAGATGGACTTTGAGGGGACTGGTTTTTCATTGCAAGGATTTTCGCATCTCTGTTTACCTCTGATTCGATGGTCCTGAGTGGCATTGTTTGTAGTTAGAAGACACATGGAATCATGAGAACCCTTCATTTGGGGGCCAGTTCATAGGGGAAAGGCTGGGTCTCAGTAAAACTGGACTCAGCAGAAGGCCCTAGTTGGAATGGTGTGGGAATTCGTGAAGCAGAGTTTCTTAGGTCAGTGTAATGCACTAGTGTAAGCCCCAAACACAGAACACAACAAACACAATGGAGGAAGAAGATAGTTTTCCACGTATGCCAAACTTTAGCAGGATTTTTCCTTTCAAGCTGAGATCTAAAAGAAAATACAGCAAACTTCTCTATCTGGCGTTGTTGCCCAAAGTAAAACATACACTGACTTTCTAGGAACAATTCAACTGAAATTCGGTTTTGGTCGGTGTATTCCATCCTTTTGTTTTTCTGTTTCCCTCTCTCTAAGAACAGAGGGCCTTGTGGAGAGAAAGAAAAGGAGGCACATTTTAAGCAGGCATTCATTGCTAGGCCCATCCTTGCAGCTTTGAGAATCAGATCTCTGAACCCTCAAAAGCCATGACATTCAGAGTCAATATCAAGTAAGAGATCCTACCCCCACCCCCAAATCTGGGATCCATAACTAGTCACCAACAAGCCTTTTTAGCTTTAACTAGAGATTCAGAATCGCAGATCCAAGGAGGCGTCCTCATCAGAACAGAGGACAGAAAACAGTCAGGATGGTGGCACTGTGTATCTTTCCCTCACAGTGGTCCAGGCTCTCAGGCTCTCAGTTGGCATGTGGCTTATGAGGCTGAGTGTCACCTCGTGAGTGTGGGTCACTTTTGCTTTGGAGTGCCACCTCCCAATAGAATACACTGCTTGTTAAAGAACTCAGTGAGCAGGGCTTTCAGCGTTTCCTCAGAAGACACACTTCATGACGAGGCTCCCTGTATGTAGAAAAACCCAAGCCTGTGGCTTCCCACCCAATAGTCTGAGCTGGATCACAGTAAGCCTCAGGGGGGTGGGGCAGCTTGGTGGCCAGAAAACACTTCTTCCCACAGGTCATTCTACCTTTGTCATTGTTCACAAAACACAGTGACAGGTATCACACAGTCAAACCCATTATAGCTCCAAGATTTCCCACATCCAGTGCTGCTGTGAACCAAACGGAGCTTTCTCCACCATCTGAGCTTCTCTTAGAATTGTTTTGTTTGCAGGGTGGTAGTGGCACATGCCTTTAATCCCAGCACCCTGAAGGCAGAGGCAGGCAGATCTCCGAGAGTTCCAGGCTAGCCTGATCTATAGAGCGAGTTCCAGAACAGGCCTCAAAGCTACAGAGAAACTGTCGAGAGAGAGAGAGAGAGAGAGAGAGAGAGAGAGAGAGAGAGAGAGAGAGAGAGAGAGAGAGATGTCTAGTTCACAACCACCCCGCAGATGTACATTTGCCTGTGAAAGTCAGAAACGTGAGCTTATCATTGTGGTAATCATCAGGGAAAGAGTTTGCAAATGCTTAAAAACAAATTTTCAAGGGATTTTTAAAAATATGGCTAGTTATCGATAAATAGGTTAAATCCACACTGATCCTTCAGAAGGATTTGGAGGCCAGAGCAAGAGGACCCAGAGCAAGGCCAGCGTCAGTTACAAGAGAGCAAGAGCTTATTGAAAAATTGAAAAAGCTGGTCTTCTCTCTGCCCGATGCCGAGGACTGTCTGTGATAACCGGATGTCTGGTGTGTGTGCGCTATTTTGTCTCCTTCCCAGGTGTGCATTGAGACCTACACATGCAGCTGTCACCAGCGCAGTATCAACACTGCTGTGCGGGCCACTCTCAGCCAGATGTTGAGCGACCTGACTTTACAGTTACGACAGAGGCAGGAGAACACGGTGAGCGAGCTTATCACATTGTAGGTCTAGCGTGGGTTTGGTGATTATGACGTGTGTGATTACATGCCATATGTCCCAGGCCCTGGGCCCGCCTGTGCTGCCATGGCTACTTCCCACTTAAACAGTGGGAAGTGCTTTTTATTGGGATGTTTATATAAGGTTAGCTATATATATTTGCCTATTTGGCCCCAAAGTATGGAGCGCTCTTCCCTTATGGTTTTTGTAATAAAATATAATGAAAATAAAATTTTGATCATTGTTTTAAGTTTTTACCTTTTTCCTTTAAAAAAATCTGTGTCTTAAAACTTTTGCTATTAAGTATCTTTTTTTATTAAAAATATCACATAGGTGGCTAGAGAGATGGCTCAGCAGTTAGAAACACTGGCTGCTCTGCTAGAGAACCTGGGTTCAATTCCAAGCACCCACATGGCAGCTGACAACTGTCTGTAACTCCAGTTCCAGGGGAGCCAATGGCTTCTTCTGGCTCCTCAGGCATCAGGGGTCCATGTAATACACAGATACACATGCAGGCGAAACACCCATACACACGAAATAATTTTTTTAAAAATGTAAAACGTATTGTGGTAGTTAACCTGTAAAATGAAAAGCAGCAGCAGCTCGCCGTGTGCTGAGTCTGGCTGTGATTTCCTGTGGTGATAAAATGACAACAGTAGGCTGTCCCCCACCTTCCGGAGCCAGCATGTATCTCATGACCTCAGAGCCCACTAGAGCTCTCTGCTCCAAACTTGCACAGATGGCCCAACAGGAGCGGCCAGGAGACCGAAGCGCACCCTTTTTTTTGTGGGTGTTTTCTTCTTGAAGTGTCAATAAGACATACGTCTTTGAAAGAAGTGTTTTTCTCTGGCCTTAAAATCGGCCTCTGTAATAAGAACTCATTAAAAGTTCCATAAAACGCGACCACGTGCTCACCGAGATGGAGCTCGTTATTTTTTAGGGCAGGAAATCGCAGTCGGGGCTGGAAATATTGCAGACAGAGATGGGTTTCTCAGCAGTTTAATTTCAAATATTTCTCATTTTTTGTACTTCAGTTGTTTTCTAATTTTTGAGGAAACCGTGGACTTGAAAGAAACCCTGCAGATAGTCAACTTTCTGCATTCCTTATTCTACAGATGAGATAATAAAGCCTGCGGGGATATAACTGAGCTATAAAATTAATGAGCTCTCCTTGAAGGAAGCAAAGTTAAGGCCTGGACTCTGACTCCCAGTGTTCTCCATCTACTTGTACTCTGGCAGCCGGTGCAGGCAGGCAGCAGTAATTCGGAGAAACAGATACTGGTTATTTTTCCCCTTTTGTATTTGCTATACCCAAAGTCCAAATTTCTGATAAACCAAGTTATCTGTTACTTTAGCTAACCCCAAGTTAAAAATGATCTCACTTATTCTATGACTTTAGATATGATAGGTATAGGAATGTTGGCTCAAAAGAATCTATAAATGGAAAGCATATTTGGAGAAAAGAAGAAATTTAAGATGCTAAAAAATTGTACAGTAATATCATATTGCATCCTTGCTAACTGGTGACACAATTGAATATTCTACTATTAACGATACCTAAGATTTTGAAATAAAACGCTTAAATGCAATATTTCAGAGTACCCCCAATTATGTTCATTTACTCTTATCTTTGGAATTATAAGTAGAGGGCAGTCATAATAATGTTTTGGGCAGGGTAATGTTTGTACCTGTGACAGAACATGCCATATAGCCTAGCAGTATGGTAAGATAAATCATTTTGGGTTTTGTGCATATAATTTATGTCACACAATGACAAAAATCACCTAGCAGTGACATTCTCAGAATATGTTCCTACCATTAAATAGTCTATAACTATGTTAGGTGTCAAGTCATCTGCCTGGCCTTCTATTGCTTAGGCTTCCTTAAGAATGGTAGCAGGCACAGCTGTCTGGCTGTACACTGCAGAGGTTCTATGTCCATCCTGAGTTTTATATGAGCAGTCAGCCTGCTGGTCCTGCTCATCACTGACCGTCTAGACTCACCCATGTGAGTGGTCAGCCTGTCGGTCCTGGTCATCACTGACCGTCTAGACTCACCCCAATCACAGGCAAGGTCCAAAATCAAGTGGACCATTGCTGTTCCCTGTGACTTCCTTTGTACTTCTCAAGTAGTCTTTTGCAGATGCATTGCCTGTCCCAGAAAAACGAAATCCTCCGGATGGTAACCTTGGAAGCATTTGTGATGTCTAGTAGAGGGAACTGTCAGGTTTTCCACCTAAAAACTAGATATTTTTTCAAAAACAATTAAAGGGGAGTGTCTATCAAATGATAAAGTTTTCTCTAAGGAAGTTATGCAACCCCCCAGGGGATACTCAGGATTACCTGGGAAGAAAATATATATATATATATATTTCTATAGCATGACTCATCACTGGAAAGACATCCTGGGCCGACTGAGAATTAGGAAGACCTGGATAGAGCAGAAAGACAGTAAATAATGTGGACTACAAAGGTATTAGCATAAAGTCCACCTTCCACATAAGGTGTGCAGCACCCGCCCCTCTCCCAGGCCAGATCGCGGTTCTGATTTTGTATCCCTATAAATGCTGAGTCATCATCTCACTTTATTATTGAGTTATTTAGATGACCACATTCATTGCTGACTTATAAGCTGCTGATTTTTCAAAGTGAAATTGCCACATATAAGTATCTAGTGGCTGGACTACCCCTATATCTCTACCTTTAAATGTCAGTCTTGGAGACACGGATAGAACATCTCACAAAATCTGCTATGATAGATTTGCAGATTTTGAATACAGAGCAGTAGACATGCGTGCCTGTAGTGAGTCTTAAAACTTGCAGCACCCTGGGATGATTTACTTGTCTGTCAGGTAGCTAACTGGCCTGAGAATGCCTGCCCATCAAACAAATCCTGCTGTCGAGAGGTAAGGAAACTGAGTCACCTCCTGCCCAGTCTCTGCAGTCACTGAGTTAGGGCTGCCGTGAAAACATGAGCCGTCTTACCTGTAAGCCTTTCACTTCCTGTTTTTCCTAGGTGGTATCTCTGCTCTAGGAATTCTGGATCCATCTAGCAACTGCCAAGATAGGCTGTATGACAGTCACAAGTTAATAGGCTCCCTCAACAAATGGGAAGGTGGTGCTCTGTGCTGTGTTCATCTTTGAGCCTGTATCCCCAAGTCCAGCAAGGATGATGCTTCCTATGACTGTGTCTAGATCTGTTAGGGCCAGGTAAAATGTATCTGTCACCTTGTAATAAATTGTCTGCACAAAGATTAACTCACCTCTTCAGGTAGGACACTGCCCAAGTTCTAGCCCAGCAATGAAAGTACACCATGAGGCTTAAAAATCCCAAGAAGTGTTTTGAACTCTCGAATAGTTTACTTTGGAACCTGACACGCTCACAGTTTTTCTCCTTAGGGTTGTGAGCAGTGAAATGCTTCCAGCATGCTTGGGTATAGCATCCAGAGTACCCAGGATGCCCTTTGCTTTCCTAGAACTTTGCAATGTCTAAGAATCAGGACTCTCCTTGCCTGAATCTCCTAACTCTATGTGTCTCCCTCACTAGATAGTTGAAAACCCAGATGTCCCGCAGGAATTCAGGAGTCAAGGTATTGTGTTTAGTTTTTTTTTTCTAGACCTTTTTAAATGATTGGGGTGTAAGAATACCTACTTGATGCATGGAATTGAGGGTGTAAAGATGGTCCGAGCTCTACTTGGCTTCGCCTTGCTTAGCATTATCTAACCAGCTGCTGTCTTCCTTCTGTTCCTACAGTCTCCTGTGCCAACTGTGTGAGGGAAATTAGCACTTATATCCCTCCCATTTGGAGGCTTTTTGTTCTCCCTCCCTCTCCTCCCTTCTTGTCTTTCTTCCTTTTTTTTTTCTATTTTTCATTCTCCATGGATCCAGGTTTAATTGCTAAAATGAGAATTGAGCAGAAAGTTACAGAAACCTGAGTGACATGTAATGCTATTGTTCTAGAATTGTTGTTCTTGTTTTTAATTCACCATACAGCTTTGCATAACTGTAGAAGTAATTTACTTATAATGAGAAATGATCTTTTGTTTTTTTTTCCCCTGGGTTGTCTTTGTGTGTTTTTCATTTTAAAGGAGTAGCTCTGGTCCCTTCTTCTCTTTTCTATGATTGTTCTGGTGGCCTAAAAGAGGCCTCATATCTAAAATCCTTTAAAAACCCATCTAAATTACAGGATGGAAAGGGCATTGAGGGGACTTCTGACACCCACCGGTGTCTAATGCTTGCACCTCCTCTGTTTTGAAGGCGCTACAGTAGAGGCCCTCTGTGATGACGTTGTCTCTGTCCTCGCTGTCCTGTGTGAGAAGCTCCAAGCCTCTATAAAGTAAGTTCCCTTCCATCCCGGCTGATATCCAACAGCTGTTCACTTTGAAAACAACTTCTATCTGTCACATCATTGACGTTATAGAGTATCCATCATCAGTAGTTCCCTCCCACTGACAGTTACCTGTCATTCCTGAGAAATACATTCAGAGATTTCTGTCCATCCCCGCTTATTAAATGCCATTACTAAAGTGTGTCATTGTCTTAAGTGAACATGGGGCAACAGTACCTAGAAAGAAGAGTGATTCTCTTGATCCCAGAGCTGAAGAGAGAGTGGGAGACTCAGAGCTGGTGGCTCTAAGAGTGGGTCCTGGCTTGGGCATGGCTCTACTGTGTTATGGCCAATGACCTTTCTCATGGGACTTTTGTCCCCTGTTAGTAAGAAGGTTGGATTATGTAAGCTTTTCTCTTCTAACATTCCCTACTATGGTCCTTAGCTTTTGGATTTTGGTAGAGAATACAAGTATGCTAAGTGTATACCTTCTAGACAATTATTAATATATTATATATTGCTTATTGTATATCAGGTAAAATAATATATGCCATATAAAATATTTCAGTATTACTGTAGGAACAAATGAGCAAACTTCCTTAAAAGTCAACTGATGCCCACCCTCTAAGATCATCAGGCTAACAAAATTAGACTTCCTAACTTGTTACATTGGGGGAGCATGTACTCCCTGGGAAACTAAGGGGGACCCGGTAAAAGCAGATTAGGGTTTCATAATATAATTTGAGTTTCAGTTAAGTGATTTTACAGTAAAGTAAGAGTTATGTTCAAGGATTGAGTCTTGTCAGGATGTGTGGTCAGTTCCAGCATCGGCATCTTAATTTCTACGTAGTCTGTTAAGGAAACATTTGGTGGCTGAGTTGTCACTAGAGAAGAAGGCAGTGGTGCAGGAGAACAATTCTATATCTGTCAGTTATATTTTAAAGAAGCGCTGACTGGTCGGTAGCCAGGCAGGAAGTATAGGCGGAAAAAACAGACAGGAAGTAAAAGTGGCACAATAAGAACAGGAAAATTCTGGGAAGAAGGAAGCCATTCCTCCCAGTCCTGCCCAGATCACCGAAAAAGTCGGATGTGACCTGTCCTGCTAAAAAAGGTACTGAGCCATGTAGCTAACATAGATAAGAATAGTGGGTTAATATACATTATAAGAGCTAGTAAGAAGTCTGAGCTAATGGGCCAATCAGTTTATAATTACTGCAGACTTTCTGTGTGATTATTTTGCTGCTAAGCTAGCCAGGTGGCCAGGGCAACAAGCAGGACCTCATGTTACAAGACACCTCTCACAGGAGAGGGAATTTGGTCAGCTTCCTGGATACACCCTCTGTACTGCCCTGAACCATGGTTCAAGTGTGGTTGTCCATGCGCTTGGTCACCATTATGCACAGGTCTTGTCTGTTCTAAACATTCAATGGTAACATTGATTGATGTTCATCAGAAAGACTCTTCTGGCTGGCAGCAATGCGGGAGTCGCCACTATCAAAGATGGGTCTTCCCCACCCACCCTCTCTAGGCCTTGGCACCAATGGCAAATGCAGCAAAGGGCACTGAAACTTTGAAAAAATTAAGAAAGATTGTGGTCATTACTGGAAAGAAATAAATGAAGCCTTTTAACAGCTTCATAATGAAAAAAAAAAAAACCCTCGAGCTTTTAAATTATACAGAAGTCTCTTCTTTGTGATCCTGGTGATTTATAATTAAAATATAGCCATCAGGATAAATCAGAATGAGCCTGAAGGCCTATAAATGACAGAATTGAACTGTATACTGTTCATTGATAGAAAAAAATCTTCAATTGGGTCCTATAAATGCTTGGCCCTCAATTTATGATTCTTTGCACACTGGTGGTTCCAACATGAGCCACAAAGACCTGGAAGGTGATCATATAGTCTGGCTCATCCAGGACATCAGGGCTTTTCCCGGTGTGAAGTATTGCAGGCATTTAGCTTTGCTATCTTTAAGAGAGTAGTATTATGGGTGTAGTCTTATAAATGACTCTGTGACTGTTGTGTAGTAGATATTTGCCGTGTTCTGGCTCTAAACTGGTTGGTGTGCTCTGACAATGGCTGACACTAATTCTACTCTATGATGGTGTTGGGAACATTAGAATTTTTTTAAATATTTATTTATTTATTATGTATACAATATTCTGTCTATGTTCATGCCTGCAGGCCAGAAGAGGGCACCAGACCTCATTCCGGATGGTTGTAAGCCACCATGTGGTTGCTGGGAATTGAACTCAGGACCTTTGGAAGAGCAGGCAATGCTCTTAAGCACTGAGCCACCTCTCCAGCCCAATATTAGAATTTTTAATGACAAAATTGGTCTGTAGTTCTTTTAGGAAAGTTCCAAGAACAAGAACAAACCTACATAGAAAATGCATGCGCTCTCTCGCTCTCTCTCTCTCTCTCTCTCTCTCTCTCTCTCTCTCTCTCTCTCTCTTTCTCTCTTGCCTCTGTCTCTCTCCTTCCCTTCTTCCTTTCCCCCCCTCCCTCTCTTTCTCAAAGCCAAAGGGCAGAAGTATCCATCAGCCATGGAACATTTCTTAACTCTATGATCTTGGGAGAGGCAAAGCAGTTCCTATGGCCCATAAAACATTTTTCTCTTGAGTCATAGACAGCCTTAGGCAGGCTGCTACTCTGCCTCATGGTTTGGAGAGGATGTGCAGTCTTGGGTTTTTGATCCATGTCCTCTGATCATAATCCTGCCTCTGGAATTTGATTGTTTATGGTCTCTGCCAATAATTTCAGTACCCTAAGGTGAAGGGGTGGGCTTTCTAAGATTAGGGTGCTGCATGCATCATGTAGCAGAATGCCTCTCTGTTAGCTCTCTAGTGTTCATCCCTTCCTCCTTGAGTGTTCTTGTTCATGTGCTCTCTTCTGGTTCTACTCCTCAGTTCCTTCTTCTTCTTCATTACTAAACCAGACACTCCATTTGTCTTCTCAGCAGCTCTTCCCCTCTAAAACCCCAATGGGCAGGATTTCTCCTTACCATCATTTTCAAAATCAGACTCCAGGTACCTCCCAGGGCTTAGGCTCATCCAGACATGTGCTTGTGACATACTCAGTCTCTCTGGAGAATTCTGAAATATATGGAGGTACTCAGTACATCTCGCCAAACAGGCCTTGCAGATGTGGTAGTAACAGAGTCCTATATTAGACAAGTTGAGTTGCATGCTCTCTCTCCAACTCAAGAATTTCTCAGAGAGTAGAATGTGACTCCTCCTCTATATGTCTCCTGCCTCTCTGTCCCAGTCTCCTTCTCCAAAGAACATCAGACAGGACTGTACCAAAGAAGGCATAGAATCAGTAAGGCCAGTCAGAATGACCATATCAATTGCTCCCATTCTGCTGCAGCTCTTACATAATTGCTTGCTTCCTTCTCTTATTTTTCTAATTAAATTCAAATCTGGACCAAAGGAGAGCAAACATTCAGAAGAAAAAAAAGTTTAAAACCCAACACTGTGAGAACTACAGAAAATACCGCTGATTTTCCTCCTGGGGAGTGACCTCCCTGGCTAGGTGGTAGCTCAGCTTGTATGACCCACTGTTTACTGCAGAGAGTTGTCCTGCTTGGATGTGTACCTGGGAAGATCTTAGTGATGAGCAAGCAATGAAACAAACAGCACATAATCTGCCAATCATGAAATGCTCTAACAAAAGACCAAGAGGAGTTGCTCATAGCCCTCCTAATTACACAGTCTTCCCATCCCCATGTATCTTGAAAAATTTAGCTAGGTTCTAGGCTCATCCTTACTCCATGCATCCAAGTGTTGGCCTGTCTGCAAGTATACAAGTCCAAAAGACTTGCACACTGTGCAAATGTTCAAAGATCTCTAAGCGAAGAGCATGCATGAAGATCCTCAGATTTTCTGAGCTCCCTTTCATAGCATGACTCATGCAAGACCATAAGAACCTGATATCCAGACTCTGCAGCCCACATTTAAGCTGTCGTTATATCTCCAAGGAGACTCCTGGGCCAGTTTCCTTGGTGATATATTCCTGTCAATGAGGCTGATGCGTGGAGCCTGCAGTGTTTCCCAGCAGGCTTTGCAAATATTTGCCATAACCCTGACAGCTCACCATTTCCCTCCTAGACTTATCCCCGATGACTTCAGAAATTGAGAATCTTAACTTTCTATCTTTACTTTTATTGTGCAATCCTAGAAAAACTTTTGAGGAAGAGATATTTTTGCATTGGGACATTGAATCTAAAAAATGATCCCAGTTTGTTGTCAGAAAAATTAACCTGAGACACAGTAAAGATGATCCTTCCAGAATTGAGTTTTCTTTCCTTTTTAATCTAAATAACATTTTTCATTTATTTTACATCCTAACCAGTTTCCCCTCCCTCCTCTCCTCCTGTCCCCTCCCTTTTCCCATCTCCCCATCTCTCCATCCACTCCTCCTCCATCTCCATTCAGAAAGGGACAGGCTAGTGGACAGTGTTGCTCTATTGTTCAGCCCTCTCCCGTCCATTCAAGAAAAATCATTCAAAATCATTGCCTGGGTAAGACTTCAGACATCTTAACACAGTGGTGTCTCTGTCTCTCTAATCCCCACTCCATTATCATCATCATCATCATCATCATCATCATCATCATCATCATCATCATCTTCATCATCATCATCATCAAATCTCATGTAGCCCAGACTGGCCCTGATCCTTATGAACTGATTCTCCTGCATTAACTCCCCACGTATTTTAGGGAAGGAGGCCACTTATTTGTTTCCCGGCTGCCCAGACTCTCAAAATAACCACACAGAAAATGTATTAATCAAATCACTGCTTGGCCCATTAGCTCTAGCTTCTTATTGGCTAGCTCTTACATCTTAATTTAGCCCATCTCTATTAATATGTGTATCGCCACGAGGCTGTGACTTACCAGGTAAAGTTCCGGCATCTGTCTCCAATGGGGTTACATGGCTTCTCACTGACTCTGCCTCTTTTCTCCCAGCATTCAGTTTAGTTTTCCCCGCCTAGCTCTGCTCTACCCTATCACAGGCCCAAAACATCTTCTTTATTAACCGATGGTATTCACAGCATACAGAGGGGAATCCCACATCACCCAAGTGCTGGGATTGCAGACACACACCACTGTGCCTGCCTTCTAGCTCCACTCTTGCAGCCACGATCCTCATATCCTGTGCTTCACCTGACAGCCTCCTAGCCCAAACTGCTTCCTCATCTCTCTGCATTTGTCCACACTCTCCTTCACAACTTCACAATGCCACAGATACCTGCTGGAGCTTCGAGGCTGTACAAAGACAGTGTTTCCTATCACATTCTCCCAGGCCTTTCTGAGGGGTGCTTTTGTTCTGCAGTATCATAGAAACCTACGCGGAGTGCTTCATCTACAGCACTTGGCATCAGCGCTTGGTCTCTGTGCTTCTCTGTCTTGTCCCCCAGTGGACAGTGTGCTATTTTCAGAGTAGCAATAGGCTGCGGAAACATGGAGGAGGGAGAGGCTAGAAATGGGAAGTCTTTATTGGCCTACAAAGGGTTAATATTTCTTGTCCATCCCATTCTTATAATCAAATTGTAGCTATTACTGTCCTTCTGCCAAATGATAGTGACTTCTGTGGAAGCTCATCCTTTATCCCCTCTCCCCCATCCTCAAAGTATGTATCCAGATGTGGGCAGCATTCTCTCCCAGTGTGTTGATATTAATCATGTAGTGTGGGGGACAAAGAGCTTTCAGACTGTGGGTTGGTGAACTTCTGTAAAAGGCCATGCAATGTGTCTCCTCATGGGCTTTTGAAAAAAGTTGGCCTCATAGTCCCTTTAAAATATAAAGACACTTTCAAATTCACAGGGTTCGGCCTCTGAGCCATAGCTTGCCAGTCAGTTTCAGACCCTGAAGTTGGTTTGGGGTGTTATTGTAGAGACATCCCCGGTGTCCGTCTCACTCTGCCTTGTCTTGCAGTGACACGGTCTTTGTCATTTCGGCAGGAGGATGGACTTCTGGCCTCTAGGGCAGATGGACAGTTTCCTTTTCCCTCTCCCCAGCTTCTGTGCCTTCCAGTTTGCTCTCGCAGCCTTTCCCTTCCCTCTTCTGCTATAAGGAACCACTTAACTGTTGAGAACATTAGCCTTCTTTCCTGACATTTATTTAAATTAGGACAAAACAGGAGTAGCTGAGTGTTATTATTGGCAGACTTCTCCTTTTATGGATAGTTCGTTCACTCCCTAAGAGATTCTTGTATCATTTCTCTTTAGAAGATTTGCAAGTCAAGTAAATGTGTTGAAAGCTAAGTTTTTTTCCATTCCTGAGTTTCACTGCATCCTGGAATTTAAGCATTTTTTTGTGACACTGTGAGTAGACATGAGCTGGGAACATAAGAATGTGTTTCCTATAGAGCTGTTTGTTTCTTTATTAGCGTATCGAGACAGCCCGTAATGATAACTACCTTTAAGAAAAAAAACAACAAATATATTTGAGGCCTGGAGAGATGGCTCAGCAGTTAAGTGCTCATTCTGAGGACCTAGGTTCAGCTCCCTGCACATGGTGGCTAACAACTGTCTATAACTTCAGTTCCAGGGGATCCCATACCATCTTCTAGCCTCCAAGGGCACCAAGTACCCACATGGTACACAGACATACATGCAGCCGAAAGAGTCGTGCACATAAAATTTTTAATATTTCCTTAATAAATAAAGAAGAAATGTGGGTTGTGAAGCAGTGAAGTGTTTTCTAGTGAGATGATGTGGTTGTTTGTAGGTGTTACGTCAGTATTAAGTTGCTTGCCTAGCATGTGTGAGACCCTGGCTTTAAGACCCAGCTCAAAGGAAGAGGAGAGAAATGGTGCAGGAGAGATAGAAAAGGACACGATGGTATAAATGGGTTCTTAGAAAGCTAAGTCATCAGAGATAATTAAAATTTCTGGTGGATCCGGGGCTTGGCTAACATGTTGCCATTTGTACACTAACTGTAGAAAATGTATTATATTATTATAAGATGTGGATACGATAAAGATGTGTGTTGAAGGGTATAACCTATGGCCCTCCTATTTCACACTCGGTTGTTTACAAATGCACAGAAACCTTTCTCCAAGATAAGGTTTATTAGTTTCCCCAAATGAGCCTAACTCGATCACTTTGTTAGGGTGCCATAGTGGGGCACCAAAGACTGGGTGCCTTGCATGGGGGAGCTGTCATCTCCTAACTGTTCTGGAGGCTGACGTGTCAAGATCAGGGTAGTGACTTCCGAGCACCGCCACAGGACCACTGCAGGACCTCCACCTCCTTCCTCACTTGCCTTGTGGAGAATTATCTCCCCATGTCTCTTCCTACAGTCTTCCCTCTGTGTGTGTGTGGGGGGGGGGGTGTCTACATGTCCACAGGTTTCCTTTCTAAGGACATCTGTTAACATTGGATTAGGGCCCTCATTGACGCAGTCACATTAACTTTGCTCCAGAGAAGATCACCTGCTTGGGTGCTGGGGATTAGGACTTGAGTCTAAGGGGACAGAGCTCTCTACCGACCCCACGACACCGACTGCACATCCCCTTGGGGTCGCCTAGAGTCTCTCCAGGTTCTGCCCCAATGCCACCTCTCTCATTTTGCCTTGTGTTTGAATTGTCTTTGTGTGTTCCTTTTGTGCTTCCGCAGTGACAGCCAGCAGCTGCAGCTTCTGTACCTGGAATGCATTCTCTCCGTGCTCAGCAGCTCCTCCTCCTCCATGTCCCTGCACAGGGGCTTCACTGACCTCATCTGGTGAGAATAAAGCCCTGCTGCCCCCACACCAGCCAGGGGTTCCAGTAGCTGTGTCTCGGTCCCATTCCACAGTGCCCATGACTTAGTGATAGTTCCATCTATTTTTATGGGTCCTCCGGGTAGGAGAATTGCTTTATTTATGTACATTACCCCAAATCCCTTAAAGAAACTAGTGACTAAATATAACAAATAAGCTTCTCAGCCCTCTTAGGCCATTTACGTCAATGGGATCACAAGAAACAGAACCCAGTGACTTCTGGGTTCTCAGTCTGTTCTAAGAAGCATGTAAATATATCAGGCAGTACATGAGCAAGAAATTCTACCCCTGAACTGGTCTTTAGTGCCACAAGAGTGCTGATCACCTACTCATGTCTAGAGATTCCGGGAAGTGACAGGCCCCGCAGACAGTCAGTCAGTAGGCTATAGATCCCATTTTACTAACAGGGAGGAAGCTGAATGAGGGGTGTCAGTATGGGATTTGAAAGTAACCCCTAAAATGACAAATGATTCTGTTATTCATAGCAAAATGAAACTTGATGAGAAAGCTTTTTAGCATTCTGAGCCCTGTTTGTTCACACACACACATACGCACATACACATACATACACAGAGACGTGCACATGCGCACACATGCGAATGGTCCTTAAATGCTTGACACTTTATTAACATGAGAAATGAGGAAGACTGGGTATACTGGGCATGACATAGGCAAAAGAAGAAAGAGTACGGACCCCTGCTCTTCCTGGATATTTCTGTGGCAATTATTTGTCTTCCTGGTGGCATTCACATTTTATCACGTGGCTTCTAGTAAGGCCTATTTTTCCTCTCACCTCTTCCCAGGAAAAGCCTCTGCCCGGCTCTCATTGTGATCCTGGGGAACCCCATTCACGACAAAACTATCACCTCTGCTCACAGCAGCAGCACCAGCAGCAATGTGGAGTCGGACTCGGCCGCTCCTGGTGTGTCTGACCATGGCCGCGGCTCGGGCTGCTCCTGCACTGCACCTACGCTGAGCGGCCCTGTGGCCCGCACCATCTATTACCTTGCAGCTGACCTTGTCCGCTTAGTGGGGTCAGTGGATTCCATGAAGCCAGTGCTCCAGTCCCTCTACCACCGTGTGCTCCTGTATCCCCCACCCCAGCACCGGGTGGAAGCCATCAAGATCATGAAAGAGGTAAGGAGGTGTGGGAGAATGCCATGGATTTGCCCACAGGAATCTCTGTGCAGTGTCCTACATGTAGGAGCATCTAAACTGTTTGTCATCCCATGCTGGGGGTGTCATTGCCACCACATGGAATCCAGTAACAAACAGTTCTGAAGTTGGTAGGCATATATTTTGGGAGTTGTGGTTTAAAAAAAGGAAATGTTAGAGGCATTCATTGGCTTCAAACTCTTTGAAAATTAGCTATGTGTTTGTTAAAATTTGCTGTGTGTTTGTTAAAACTCTAATAGATGTACACCTGAGATCCCATCCTTTTGGTTTGGGTTCTTTTTCTGTGCAGACATACATGTTTGGCACCTTGGCAAAATCAGATTCCAAAATGACTTGCCAGGTGCTGTGGTGTGTGTATGTGGTTCCAGCTACCCAGGAGGCTGAGCCAAGAGGATGTCTTGAATCCAGGCATTCATTGTTATAGTGTACCATAAAGTTGGGAGTCTATACTAAATACAATATGGTGACCTCCTAGGAGCAAGGGACCACTGCCTAAGGAAAGGTAACCTAGCCCAGGTCAGAAACAGAATGACCTAATGCTTGAGACATGCACAAAAGAGCTTTGCTGGTTTCTTGATAAAAGAAACCCTTTCTCCTCTTCCTCCATGTGTTCTGTCCTCTCAAATGTCAAAATCCCAAGATAGAAAAACTTTGTATCTGATAATAGCCATTCCAGTGGGCTGCCTCATGGCTTTGAGGATGAATTGCAGTTATTTTAAAGGTACTGCAAAAGAGAATTCTCACTCCATCAAACCCCTCCTTAGAAATTACTAAGAAAAGGAATCAGTGCTTTTGTTTATGTGAACTTCTTCATAAAGGTTAGTGTTCTAGGGGGAGCTTTTTGTTTGTTTGTTTGGTTGGTTGGTTGGTTGGTTTTCCATTTTGTTTTGTTTCTGTAATAAAGCACTCTGACCAAAAGCAACCTTGGGAGGAAAGGGCTTATTTAATTGGCTTACTCTTACAGATAATAATCCATCATTGAGGGAAGTCAGGGTAGGAACTCAAGCAGAAACCACAGAGGAAGACTGCTTACTGACTTGATATCTGGCTAGCTCATCTAGTATTTTTATACAGCGCAGACGTATATATCTAGGGATGGTAACACCCACAGTGGGCTGGGCCCTTCTCATTAGTTAGCAATCAAAACAGTGCCCCATAGACATGCCGCAGGCCAAGTTGATCTACACAATTCCTCCACTGAAGTTTCCTCCGGTGACTGTAGGCTGTGTCAAGCTGACAGCTGAAACTATCTAGGGGAGTTGGTTGCATTTATGTAGAATGCTAACGCCCCCAAAATCAGAGTAACAAAATATGGGTTGATTCAGCTTAAGCAATATTGAACATCAGTTTCTTTTAAAGTCTATTTTTTCTTCATCAGAGTATCTTTGCATACTTAATCATTGAAACTTACCAGATACACAGGATGTTCTGATAGTTGTTCTCTTGGACTTAAGTGGTATTACCATATGGAAATAAACAGAGATTATTAGTGTATGATGGTGAGGGATCTCATCTGACCAAATCCTGGTGGCCTTTTGTGTTTCAGCATTGGGTTAAATTCATATGTAATAGCCAATAAGAAGCTAGAGCTAATGGGCTAACTAATAAGTGATTTAACTAATACAGTTTCTGTGTGATTATTTTTGGGCTTAGCTAGCTAAGAGGTCAGAAACTAACGAGTGGCCCCCTCCAACACTACCTAAACAGTGCCACTATTTGGGACCAAGGATTTAAATGCCCACGACTACAGATAATATCTCATTCAAACATGATATGACAACCACAGGTATCACCCTGAAAATACCTCATTGCATATGTACAAATAGGTCAAAATTTGAAAAATAAAATCTCAAGCCAGAGATTCTTCAGATTCTATGCATCTCCAAGAAAAGATCTTCAAGCTTTCTTCCTGTTTTGTGTCCTTCACTAAAGAAGTACATGTTATTTGATCTCATGACTTTAAAACTTGGTGGATTTTTGAGTTTTGGTTTTTGTGATACTGACGTTTCTGTTCTTTCTCCTTTTTCCTAAAGATACTCGGGAGCCCACAGCGTCTGTATGACTTGGCAGGACCAAGCTCTACCGAGTCAGAGCCAAGGAAAAGATCTATTTCCAAAAGAAAATCTCACTTGGATCTTCTCAAACTGTATGTTCATTTTTCTTTTGGGTCCATATAGATTGGCCAACAGTCAATATTGATGGAGGGTGTGTGGTTTGAAGTGGAGAACTTTACTTGGAATTTTTCCAACACTGAGTGTGTTTGTGTCATTTATTGTCTAGATCCCTTGATGCTATGCAAATTAGACTTTCTCTTTTGAATACTGTGCAGTTGGCCACACTAATAACTCTTGTATATATTTGGAGGAACGTCTTCATCTTTCATGCCTGGGTGTTATTTTCTGTCTTGAAGTGTTCAACTTCTCTGAACACTTTTCACCTTAACCACAAATTGATGAAATTTTGATGAGCCTACATTAAATAAGATGTGTATATCTAATTATTTACCCACAAGCCACATAAAACATCTCAATTTATATTACTCATAATTTGCCAGATTTCAATATTGGCTTAAGACTGAATCTACACATGAAGCATACAAAACGTATCCCCTGGAATTATTTAAGGGAAGAACTTTTTGATTTACAGCATGGGCTGTCAGGTTTTATTGCAGTAGCCTCCATAAAAAAATCAATATTCTATGGTTTGTAATAATCATATTGGCATACACATGGTAAGAATATGTTTACATTGAAAAGTCTTCATGACTCTTAGCAATAGCAACTGCCCTATTTGAAGGTCTGAACATAATTGAAAATAAATTGGCAGTGTCTTTACTTGAATAAAATGACACATTTCCTTCTGGAATTTTCATTTGTACCCAGAAAAGCTAGTCAGTCAACAGGGCTATGATTTTAGGTGGGGAAATTTAGGTGGGAGCATATTTGTGGCTTTTATTGTCTAGACCCCTTGATGTTATACACGTTAGACTATTTCTTTTGAATACTCTGCAGTTGACCAGACTAATAATGCATATCTAGGGGTGTTTCTTGATCTTTCATGCCTGGGTGCCATTTTCTCTCTTGAACACTATGTAGCATCATGGACGGCATGACGGAAGCATGCATCAAAGGTGGCATTGAAGCCTGCTACGCTGCCGTGTCCTGCGTCTGCACCTTGCTTGGGGCCCTAGATGAGCTCAGTCAGGGCAAGGGCTTGAATGAGAGTCAAGTACAGCTGTTGCTTCTGCGCCTTGAAGAGCTGAGAGACGGAGCTGAGTCAAGCCGGGACTCCATGGAGATTAACGAGGCTGACTTCCGCTGGCAGCGCCGGGTGCTGTCTTCAGAGCACACGCCATGGGAGTCAGGCAACGAGAGGAGCCCAGACATCAGCATCAGTGTCACCACAGACACAGGCCAGACAACCTTGGAGGGAGAATTGGGCCAGACAACACCAGAGGACCATAAGAATGGACTCAAATCACCAGCCATTCAGGAAGGCAAGGAGACCATGGGCAAAGTGTCTGAACCTGAGGCCATAGACCAGCCCGATGTTGTTCAGAGAAGCCATACAGTCCCTTACCCTGACATCACTAATTTCCTGTCGGTAGACTGTCGGACAAGGTCCTATGGATCTAGGTATAGTGAGAGCAACTTCAGTGTAGATGACCAAGATCTGTCGAGGACAGAATTTGATTCCTGTGACCAGTATTCCATGGCAGCAGAAAAGGACTCGGGTAGGTCTGACGTGTCAGACATTGGGTCAGACAACTGTTCACTGGCGGATGAAGAGCAGACCCCTCGGGACTACATGGGCCATCGGTCCCTGAGAACGGCCGCTCTGTCCCTCAAACTGCTGAAGAACCAGGAGGCTGACCAGCACAGTGCCCGGCTGTTTATACAGTCCCTCGAGGGCCTCCTTCCCCGGCTCCTAGCCCTGTCCAGTGTGGAAGAGGTGGACACCGCCCTTCAGAACTTTGCCTCCACTTTCTGCTCAGGTTTGTAGATCTTTTGCTGTGTATGCACCCAGGACATTTAGAGCTGTGTGCCTTCGTAGGTGATAATCTTCCTGCTTGTGGTTTGAAGAGCTTAAAGCAGTGGTTCTCGACCTTCCTAATGCTACGACCCTTGAATACAGTTCCTCAAGCTGTGGTGTCCCTAACCATACAATCTTTTTTGTTACTACTTCATAATTTTACTACTGTTAGAAATCATAGTGTAAATATCTGCTATGCAACCCCAAAGGGGTCGCAACGCACAGGCTGAGAACCACTGGCTTCAAAAACATGTTAGTGAGCCCTGGGGTTTCCTCTGGTAGAGAGTAAAAGACTGGAAGACTTATGGGTGGGGGTTTATGACACAGGGACAATCTCCACAGCCTGGACACTCTCTGACCAACTGTCCTTGATACCAAGGGAGACAGAAGATATTAGTGGCCAGAGCAGTGTGGGTCACAGTCTGGCACTGTGGTTGGTTTTGGTAATGATTGAGTCTCTGCAAAATGGCAAAGTTATATGTATAGTCTTGTATTTGAAATAATATTATGTAATGAGCCAGGGAGATGACTTGATCAGTAAAGACAACCTGAGTCGTGAGCTAGAAATCTGATTTGGTAATGCTTTTATCATCTTATATTAATCATATGTAGCATTAGGTTTCATTATGACATGGCATTTTCATGCATGTATATAATGAATTTTTATTATATCCACCCTTTTTGCCATCTGTTTCCCTCCCACTGTTCTTCTTTCCCCACTAATATTCTTTTACTTTCTTTTTCCTTTTTTTTTCCTCCCTTACTTCTTTTTCTTGTTGGTGGGGATGGGGTGGAGGGGGTGGTAGTGACCCACTGACTTTCCTTAGGGTTGTGTGTAGGGGATGGGCAAAGCTTGTTTGCAGGATTATGGGCACCTTACCCATAATCCAGTAGCTGGACCACTGGAGATTACGCCCTTCCCTGCCACCAGTCATTATATAAACCCCCAAGGAGGGCTGAGACCCGGTGAGAACCTCCCTTTCTATGACAACATTCTAAGTTGTCTAAGTTCAAGCCCACAGCAAGCATGTTGTCCTAGGGTTTTACTGTTTTGAGAAACTTGGCTAAAATCAACCTCAGAAGGAAAAATTCTTATACCTCATAGCTTACAGTCTTCCATGAAGGGAAGTCAGGGCAGGAACCCAAAGCAGAAACTGGAGCAGAAGCCATGGATGAGTCCTATTTCCTGGCAGCCCCTCATACTCTCCCAGTACACGTTCTTATAGACCTGGGACCATTGGCCAAGGAGTGGCACCACCCACAGTGGGCTGTGCCTCCCATACTGATCATGGATCAAGAAAATGCTCTCAGACTTCCCTACAGGCATCTGACAGAAGGCATTTTCTCAGTCGAGGTGCCTCTTCCCAGATAACTCTAGGTTTGTGGGAAGTTGACGAAACCTAGCTAGTGTCAAGCCTGGAAATCAGAGTATCCAGTTTTTCACTGATGACCAGTCAAGCAGTTGGTCCAGCCCCCTGTTCCTGACAGTGAAGAATATCTTCATTACAGATGGCAAGATGGACTACAGTTATTGAGACCTGGGAAATACCAGCATCACGGCTAGCATATGCAAATGGTCATACTTCCCTTGGTTTATCACTGCAAAATCGATAATACAGCAAGAAGGCCAGTCAGAAAACCGCATAGAACCTCTCTCACAAAATACCTATTGGGGAAGGCATGTGCAGTACAATTGGCTCACATCAGTAGCATGGCACCAAATGCCCACTTTTATCTGCATAAGTTTAGGCAAATTGACCAGTGTCTCACAGGCATTCTCCTTGTTGAAAGTTGGAGCATAGTCAAATGAAACACTGTATGAGACGGAATTGGTTATACGTGACAGACAGTATTTCATGAAGTACAGCGGTGTGCTGTTTCCTTTGTGCCTGGTGTCACCAGAGAAAGCATCAGGTATAGCAGGAAAACGGTTCTTTTCCGTAAGCCGATGGAATAGTCTTCATTTTGTCTTAAACCCAAATGCGTCAGTTGTTGGTAGTTGCAGAGATTAACCAGCACACAGACGCTAGGCCACCAGCCGGCACACACTACTAACTAGTTCAACAAATCATTTCAGACATAAGCAGATCTGCCAGCAGCGTCCTCGGGCTTCACACACCTCTGCTAGTGGATGTCTTTCCATATCAGCAGATTCAGCCACAGCCCCTTTCACTTTCAGCATCTTGAACCTATGCTTAGTTTTCCAGACCATATTCCCAGCCAAGTTAGTAACTGCTGTAGAACATGCTGTCTAATCTTGATGTCTAAGATCAGGCCACTTACCGATTATTCCCCACCCCACTGTAAATAAACTTGAATGTACTTCTTAATTTGATCAGTTAAATGCCAAACCCTGAATACTACTTTCTGCTTTATCATGGAAAGAAATGGATTTTAGGAACACTCTCTCTTACAGAGAATTGCTCAGACACCTCAAGGGTGTTGGGGGTTGCACAGGGCCGTGGTGGTCCATGCACTTGGACCACCAGCACTTGGGAGACAGAGGCAGGTGGATCTCTGTGAGTTCAAGGCCAGCCTGGACTACAGAGCGAGTTCCAGGACAGGCTCCAAAGCAACACAGAGAAACCTTGTCTCAAAAAACCAATAAACAAATAAAAATTATTGTTACATACATTGTGACACCCATGCTGACGTAGGCCTCCTTCCCCAGCCACTGAGTGCTGACATACGCACATGCCGCACCATGCCTAACTTTGTACTTTCTTGTTTTTGTGTTAAGTGCTGCTTCGGGTACCTTAGATGAATGACTACAGTTGGTTCTCGTAATAGCCATGCGAATTCTCATTCATGCATCCAGTGGCATAAGAACCTGCTCTGTGACAGGCACTATTGTAGGCGAAAGATTCTCTAATTAACAGAACCAATAGCCACACTTTCTCTCAGACCTTGAGTGCTGAGAGCAGACAGAAAACAAATGTGTAGCTTGGCATAGTGGCCATCGCCTACAATCTCAGTGCCTGGGAGGCTGAGGCAGGAGGATCAAATATGACACCAGCCTGAGCAACATAGTGAGACCTGTCTCCAAGGGCTGGAGATATTGCTTAACAGGCAATGCATCAATCTGGCTTGTGTGAGACCCTAGCCTAGCTTCAGTCCCTAGAGTGTATGTGCATACACATGTGCACACACGCACACACACACACAGACCTACACCTTTGTAAACTATTAATACAATGCCAGGTGGGGTAAACAGCATTGAGGCTATAAGAAGTACATGGGAGAAAGCAGTGGCTGTGCCTGAAAAGGAAGCTATGGAACTGAAAGGAAAGGTCTCTGAGACACTGACTGGAGGCCTGAAAAAAAAAATCAAAAGAGGAACTCCCCAGAGGTCTCGGAGAGCATTCTAGAGAGTGTCAGAGATAACACACAGGCTGCAAGGCAGGTGTAGGTGAGAAGGATGAGATAGCAAGCAGACTGATAGCTGAAGGAGAGAGACGATGAGGCTGAGTCATACTACGTTGTCATGGAAGGTTTGAGATGTAAGAATGTAATAGAGAAGTCAAAGGGCTTTACCCAGTCGTGGCTGCTATGAACAGCTCACGATCCAGCTGTAGCAGGTAGACACCAGAATAGGCATCCTGTGAGCGTCCTGGCTGGTAATCAAAGCTATATAGCAGCGTTCGCACAATGGAGTTTCCACCGCGAGACTCTATCTGGTTCAGCAGATGCAGGTCCTGTGGCACGCTGTGGCGGCCCCACAGCTGTCTTCATCCCTTCCCGTAGGCATGATGCACTCTCCCGGCTTCGATGGAGGGAGCAGTCTGAGCTTCCAGATGCTGATGAACGCTGACAGCCTGTACACGGCGGCACACTGTGCCTTGCTGCTCAACCTCAAGCTCTCTCACGGTGACTACTACCGGAAGCGGCCAACCCTGGCACCAGGCATGATGGTGAGCATGAACTCTGGCATGGGCCCCCCCTCCCCCGCGGGTGAGCTCTGATCTCAGCTGCCACTGTACAGCCAAGTGTCGGGTCTGTAGGAAGAAACTGACCGTTGTGTTCTGTGCCACATTGCTCAACAGTACCCTCACCTGTGCAGGTCTGGAGCAGGGAGAGCACAGATGTGAAATTTGCACAGCGATCATTCATGGCTTTAATAAGACACCTTTGGTAAGGTGTGTGGTGAGGATAGTGTTGACTATACTGTGGTCGGCTCCCTTGACTGCAATGAAAAGCTCTGGTTCAGTGAAAGGGGGGTGCGTGGTTTGGGAACCTGTTCATTGACGGGGCTGTGTCTTTGGTCCCCTTCTCTGGCTTCTCTGCAGAAAGAGTTCATGAAACAGGTGCAGACCAGTGGCGTGCTCATGGTCTTCTCACAGGCCTGGATTGAGGAGCTCTACCACCAGGTTCTCGACAGAAACATGCTTGGAGAAGCTGGCTACTGGGGCAGCCCCGAAGACAACAGCCTCCCCCTTATCACCATGCTCACTGGTCAGTGGCTCACGCCGAGGTCACGGGGTGCTCCATAGTGGGGAAGCTGATGTGCTGGGCCTTTTAGAAAGGCCATGATGCTTGAACAGGCTTTGAGTAACAGTTGCAGGATAGCGTCATGAAAGCAGTTCGCACGCACTTGCTCTCCTTTTGTCGTGGGCAGCCTGTTGTGCTCACTGTCACCGTTGGACATGCTCCGCTGTTAGAGTAAGGCTGTAGGCCCATCAGTGGACTTGTATTCTCTAGACACGGGCCCGGAGTTATTTCTGGAAGTGCTCACGTGCTAAGAGAGATCCCACATCATCCGGCACTCCTGGGATTTGGCCGCTTGGACTATGAAGCAATTGATTTTATACTTGGCCTCATTCCCATTCCCTGTCAGTGTCCCTTTCCCAGCTGTCCCAGAATATAAATTAATGCTAAACATTGGCCTTCCCAGCATCCTTGTCTCTAGTGTCAAAAATTTTAACATCCTCTTTAACAACTAGAAATTTCAAGTGACCATACAGAGAATAGTGTGTTTAGTATCTAGGGGTGGTGGGGTGAGTTTTGGCAAAAGCAGATATTTCTGTTTTATCCATGGCTTGCCAACAATGTTCAAAGCCTTGATGTGTTCATCAGAAGCTCTAACAACCTAAACCTTCAGCCTTTTTTTTTTTTAAATCTTTCTGTGTTTCTAGCTTGACTTCCAGTCTGAATTGTCCTCTCATGGGACATAGAAGGGCAGGGCTCTACACAAGATGCCTTTGTGTGGCGTCTCCTGTCTCTCAAAGCTCATCAGCTGTTTACTACACAGGGGACGGAAGGGATAAAGCTGGAGAGTGTAGCTGGGAGGTTGGATCTATTGATTAAAAGTGTGTCATGGTGTCAATGGTTGGCACCAGGACTTTTATAAAGGTGACAAAGTAGTCAACTGGCAGGTGAAAACCCACAATCAGGAATTCGGAGGCAGGGAGCTATTTGGTTAGGAACCATGTAGAGAGACAGTAATGAGGCCCCTCCCTAGAGGGTAGACTCCTGGCACTTCTTGAATCTGGAATCCTTCTAGAATCAAGATGGAACTTGATAAAAGCAAGTCTAGGTCCCACATCTTGAGGATCAAGATCATAGAACAAGTGACCAGTTTGTACTTTATTAACCATGATTTTATTTATACCATTTGAAATTAATCATTCATGGGATCTGGAGAGAAGGCACAATGGTCCCAAGGACCTACGTTTGATCCCTAGCACCTACATAAAACATCAGGCAGAGTTGGGGGATCTATAACTCCAGCACTAGGGAGGTAGATACAGTGGATCCCTGGCATTTTCTGGCAGCCAACCTAACTGTAGTTTCAGTCCAGTGGGAGACTCTGTCTCAAAAAATAAACTAAAGAGGAACTCAGGGAGACAGCTGATACCAGTTTCTGACCTCCACACATATGTGCATACACACACATACACACATCACACACATGAACATGTGCACAGGCAAACACACACTAAACAATCATTCTTATTTATAAGAGACATTCTTTTAATTTACTATAAGCAATGCTCAGTCTCCATCTGTTTCCACAAACTCCCTTCATTAGGGTAGAGACAGCTGCATAGAGTGTCTAAGTGCCTTCGAATTCAGAGGAGCTTAAATACCGGGTTTCTGCCTAATGTAATCTCTATGAATCTTTTACCCAAAGCTTAATAAAAAAAAAAGGCATTCAATAGATGTCAAAGGAATAGCTGTATTCATCCATCATGACTGCTAATCAGCTGTAGCATAAGAATAAGCTCAGTCGCTCTGCCCATAGGGAAGCTATTTAATTCTAGGGTAATGATAGCAATATATAGTCTTTTCAAAATAATGCAACAAAAATAAGGTTCTGTGAGAGCTAGAGCAATGGCTCAGCAGTTAAGAGCACTTATTACTCTTGGTTGCAGAGGACCCAGTTCTGTTCCCAGCATCCTCATGGCAGCTCACAGCCATCTTTTCAGTTGCAGGGGAGCCAGTGCCTTTTTTGTGACCTCCAGGGGCACCATGCATGGCATACACTTGGTCCATATCAATACATGCAGGCAAAAACACTGGTAACAAATAAAAGTAAATAATTAATAGTCCATGAAACTTTATGGCAAATTCCAAATGTGAACTAGCAAGTGATGCGTGGGAACTTCCTGATCCTCCCATTGTGTACCAGGAGAAGCCCTACCAACAGTCTCACCATCGGCTAACAGGCCACTCCTTGGAACATGGCAAGCCATTCATAGAAATGACAAACTTTATACTTAAATAAATTTCAAATAGCTGAGTTCATTAGTCTTGTACCCAGTACATGGGAACTATTTCAAACTGGATAAAATGGCCATTTCTGGTAAATGCCATTAGGTCATTGATTGATTCCAGAAAACTGGCCTAATTCTATAGTAGCAATCATATAAATTTCTATTTTTTATGACTGTCTCAATTAGCTTTTCTATTTCTGTGAAAAGACACCATGACCACTGTAATGCTTATAACGGACATTAATTGGGGCTAGCTTACAGCTCCCGAGGTTTAGCCCATTATTGTCATGATGAAAAGCATGGCAGATATGGTGCTGAGAATTCTACATCTTGATCCACAGGTAACAGGAAGTGAATTGTCCCACACTGGGCATAGTTTGAACATATAATACCTCAAAGCCCCCCACAGTGACACACTTCCTCCAACAAGGCCACACCTCCTAATAGTGCAGCTCCCTATGGGAGTAAATTTCTTTGGAACCACCATAATGACCTTCTGATATGTTGCCTAGAAGACTTGATGACATTTTGTAAGAATGCAATATAAAATGAAAATCATACTACTCAAGCAAGGGTGAAGTTCCAAATTGAGAAGAAATTTATTCAGTCCTCTTTCTCATACCCCCACTGTGTTTCATTTGACTATATCAGTTGCCTCCGAATTCATGTTGCATCCCTCTGTCAGCTTCTTTTATAGTGAGGGAATTGGTACCCAGAGACTGAGGTGCCTGCCTCAGGCCTAAAAGGCCTCTTCATTCAGAGATAAGCAGAATCCCAGACTTTCTAACCCCAGACCAATCCCTTCTTGCCAGCATATGAAGGATTTTTGTTGAGCTATTTTGTATGTGCGGATTTATTCTTACAAAAATTTGAAGAAGGTAGTTTTAGAACCCATGTTGAACTGGGGCATGGTGTTGTTTCTGGTCTTCAATCAGAAAACATAGATACTAAATTCCAATTCTGCCTTTTGCCAGCCTTGTGGACTTGGGCGATTTACCTACTTTACAGTTGGATCTTAGCCCAAACACCCAAAAATGATACCTTTTTTCTGCCTCTAGTTCATAATTTCCTCCCCTGTAAAACAGGAAAAATAAGAGCCCTCCCTTCCTGATTTGAGTAGTTGGGGACAATCAAGTGAAAAAAATATTAACTGAAACCATTTGAAAATTATAAAGTGTACTGTCACCAGTATGTTTTGAGTTAGAATGAAAATTATTTGACTGGAGAATTATTCTGCTTAGTTCTAGTGGAAGCGCTCTGGAAGAGAAATACTAACCCGGCATGGTTGTATATTCTTTTTAATCGAGAACTTGAGAAGCAGTACTCTATACATACGATTAGTGATAATGCCATGATTTTTAATAAAAAGAGGATCCACAGATGAAAACATCTTGAGTGAATGTTATGTGACAAAGGCAGAGGCAGAGGTTAGCCTCATTTTTTTCAAATATAAAGCATACAACTGCAGGCAAAAGATTGCTTTGTCAATGAAAGAAAACAGACTGAAGGAATAAAGCAACGCTTATAATCTTCTCAGAAAAGACACTCTAGGGGGCTGGAGAGATGGCTCAGAGGTATAGAGCATTGACTACTCTTCCAGAGGTTTTGAGTTCAATCCCCAGCAACCACATGGTGGCTCACAGCCATCTACTATGAGATCTAATGCCCTCTTCTGGTGTTCAGGTAAAAATGCAGCCAGAATATTATATACATAATAAATAAATAATAATTTAAAAAAAGAAAAGACACTCTATAGTCCATACATAAGAGATACAATGGATTTTTGCTAAAAAGAGATATGAACATTATGATGACTGTTAACTTGTTTTTGATTGACCTGCCAAAAGCAAAGGCTTAGGAATGACTTTACTCTTGGCAGACATTGACGGCTTGGAGAGCAGCGCAATTGGTGGCCAGTTGATGGCATCAGCTTCAATGGAGTCGCCTTTCGCCCAGAGCAGGAGAATTGACGACTCCACAGTAGCAGGTAAGACCTTCAACCTTGGGCTTAAAATATACATACATTACACATGTTACCGGAAATCAAATTGTTACATGGCGGCTTAAATAAATTATGACTTTGTCTTACAGGGGAGAAGGGAGGTAATGAAAATTGCCCTGCTGAGATGGTGATACCACATTCATTATTTATGAGCACTGTGTGAAACCTGACCCAACACAATCTAATAAATTGTATTTCCTGTTGTAGAACGACATGCAAGTCAGAGATGCTCATCTGAGGCCTGGAGAACCCCAGACCCTTTGTCATTCATTTTTTTCTCTGGAGAGTAACCTGGATTGCCTCTTCTTGTAGGTGTGGCATTTGCACGTTATATTTTGGTTGGCTGCTGGAAGAACCTGATTGATACTCTGTCAACTCCCTTGACTGGTCGAATGGCAGGAAGCTCCAAGGGGCTGGCCTTCATTTTAGGAGCCGAGGGCATCAAAGAGCAGAACCAGAAGGAGCGAGATGCCATCTGCATGAGCCTTGATGGGCTGCGGAAAGCTGCGCGACTGAGTTGTGCTCTAGGTACCTGTGGAGATCCCTGTCCTGAGGGAGGGTCCCTTCAGAACTCACTGGGAAAGTCATCCTTTAGAAGGGGTTCTTTTTGGTACCTATCTGGAGAACATACTCAGCTAAGGGGTAGATGTTTGTTTCTTCTGAAGGGGTTGCTGCTAACTGCGCTTCAGCCCTTGCCCAGATGGCGGCTGCTTCCTGTGTCCAGGAAGAGAAAGAAGAAAGGGAAGCCCAGGAGCCCAGCGATGCCATAGCACAAGGTAACAGCTTCCGGCAGATCTTCCTGGTGCCTTTGTCATGCTGTGCACACATCCACATATACCACTGGAGACCTGTTCCATTCTGTGTGTGATGCCCATGATGCTGTACACACATTTGCATATACCACTGGAGACTGGTCCCCATTCCGTGTATGATGCACAGTAGGCAATTGCCACTAGTCAGGAACTCCACTGGGCCATACACGTGAGTTTGTTTAGGGCAAGGGAACCTCCCTAATGCTAACAGTGTCTCTTTCTCAACAAGTCATACTGGCTACTACTGGGAAAGTACAGTTGGTTGCTAACAAGAGTGCCAGGGGCCCACCTGAGTCACCTCCGGGGTCATCATCAGGCCTCTAGTGCACATTAGAGACCCCTCAGGTCAAAGTACGAACGGCAAACTGGCCATTGTTATGAGAAAGAAAATCAAATAGAACCCATAAGAAGGAGGCCAGAGAAACTTCATTCAGAAAAACCCGAGCTTTGTGCACACAGGAAAGGGCCAGTGGAGCTGAAGACCTTCTAGACACAAGGAAAAGAAGATGTCTTTCCTAATGGCAATGAAAGACACAAGGCAGGCAGCAGGCTGAAGAAAAAAATGAAATAAAAATAAAAGCATGATCTAAACTACGCTGATGCTATCTGTGGGTATGTAAAAGAGCTAGTCACAGAAAATGTGTATTTTTAGCAGAAACAAGCAATTCAGGTCACTGTTCCCCAAACAAGTAATATTTTGATATTTAAATTTTTATTTAAATTTAAAACTTTTAAATTTAAAATATTTAAATTAAAAAAAAAAACTGTTAACAAGCAAAGTAGTTCGTGTAGATCTGGGGAAAGATGAAAAAAAAGGAATGAAAGTTTACTCAAGTATTGTGTATCTGTTAGCCACACAAAAATCTTCACATTTAGCTACCTGTGGTAGTGTACATCTGTGTGCCCCAACTCACGAATCTGAGATGAGAGGATCAAAAATTTGAGGTCAGTTTGAACTGCATAACAAGAACTTACCTCAAAAATATAAATCCCTGGGTCTGGAGAGATGGCTCAGCAGTTAAGAGTGCTGATCATAAGGACAAGAATTCTCAGATCCAAGCACCCCCATTCTTGGATCCAAGCACCTCCATTCTTAGATCCAAGCACCCCCATTTTCAGACCCGAGCACCCCCATTATTACGCACAAGACAAAGACCTACAACGTAGGGATCCAACACCCTAACTCAGGCCTCTGCACATGCACAGGTATGCATGCATGCCTACACACACGTGTGTGCATACACTCACAGAGACACACATACAAATAAAATGAATCATTTAAAAAAAATTCTTGTGGCTGGGGAGAGATGATTCAGCTGTTAAGAGCACTGGCTGCTTTTCCAGAAGATCCAAGTTATGTTCCCAGGACTCACCTGGTGACCCTCACACATCTGTATGACTCCAAGTTCCCCTTTGACCTCTGCGGGAACCGGCATACACATAGGCACAGGTATGCCTGCAGGCAAAGCACTCATACCTATAAATATTTGTAAACGTTTAATTCTTACATATACAGCTCCTGAAACACAACACACTAACAGAGCTAAAAATGTTCTAATCATAAACACAAAATAAAACCAGTTTCATATTCATGAGGTAAATAGTGTTTTCCTAAAAACAACCTTCTCCTTGTAACATGAAAGCGGCTGAGTACCTTGAAGATAGTTTTCTCTGCTTCTTAGTGCTGAGCTAGCACCCAGTTTATCCCACCAGATCTGGTGACTGGAAGGCTTTCTTTAAGGATGCACGCCATTTGGCCTTCCCATTTAGCATCACTGACCTTCTGCGTCAGTTTTTGCATCCTCCCTCAGTCATTGCCTCTCCATCATCCTTCAAGAAAGCATTTATAGCTCACAGATACAAGTGTGAACTCTTGGGGACAAATGACATCATGATTTCACTTGAAAAGAAGTCATGCTTGTGCTCCAAATGCATAGACATACTTTGGGGATGACCATCGTAAGAAAGGCGTAAATAACATTAATCAAGCTCAGAGAGGCTTGCAGACTGCCGAGAATGCCTTGATGTTATGAGTCAGAGTGCACAGGGGAGGACGAGGGGCTAGAAGCAGACAATGTAGCTGGAGCTAGCACAGCACACGAAAGCTCACCCACACAGCCGTGCCTTACCCAGGCCCATGAGGGTGCCGGAAGAAGCTGTACCTAGCTCAGGATCTGTCTGACCTTAGAGTCCCAGAGCAGAAGTCATCTGTGAATGGGGACTCGTCCAACCAGTAGCTTGCATGCGAACCATGGGCCCTGTTGAAGAGGCGCTTGCAGCCAGCGAAGTATATTGTCACCCTTTGCCCCTGCATGACGACACACTCTTTCATTTCCATCCTGTCTTTCTCCCTTTCTGTCTCCCTTGCTCAGACTGCTATCTTAATAAATGTCTTTCTGGCACAGTGAAACTAAAAGTGGAGCAGAAACTGGAGCAGATGGGGAAGGTGCAGGGGGTGTGGCTGCACACAGCCCACGTCCTGTGCATGGATGCCATCCTCAGCGTAGGCCTGGAGATGGGAAGCCACAACCCGGACTGCTGGCCACACGTGTTCAGGTGCATGATGGGATCCCCACCCCTGATGGCACAGACCCCACCTTGGGAAGCCTGGGGTGGTAGACAGAGTCTTGTAGGCTCCGGGCTCTGCCAGCAGATTATGAGCCCTTACTGTTCAGATAACATGCCAAGTGAGACACAGGGCAGGAGATAAGGACCGCTGGATGTATGTTTCTGGAGAACGGAGTTGCGGAACTGCATTCAGGGAATTGTGATTTATCTGTTGACACTCCTGTGGGATTCAGATATATTATATTACACCAAGGAGGAAAACCCTAGACTCCTAAGTGGTAGATGGAAGACAACCGTGCAGTTTCAATGCATGAGTCTAAGATGTGCTCAGGGGTCAATAATACAACTATTATGTGTTCATTAATGTCATCTCTATGTAAAAAAAAAAGACCTGGTATACACACATCATTACATACAATAGTCACTGAAGACATCTCGTTTAACTAGACATGGAAAAATAAGAATACAACAGTACATCTGTGCAAAAGGCCACTAAAAAATTTGACTTTTAAGTGTTGTGCCATTGAAGAGGCTCCCAGCCAACAGCTGTAAAATAAAAAACAAAATGACAACTCCAGACTCCAACTCTGTAGTCCAAGATTAGAGCCAGTCCTCTCCAAGCACTGGCATTAGGAGAAGAACAAGGGGGAAAGCCCTGCTCAGTTACGCTCAGCTGGGCCTTAAGCAGGCATCAGCCAAGGTGTCACACTGAAATGCCTTGCAAGCAGACCAGCCATGGGAGGAGAGCAGTTGGAGGTCAGCAAGATCTGAGGTCAGTTTCACGTCACCAGCACTAATCAAGCCACAGTGTTGGTTGAGTTCCTAAGAGAAGAGCTTGTGCAGTATCCAAGCACTGTAAAGCCAACCAACTTTGAGAAGAACGTGAAAGGACCAGGATGAAGCAGCCCAGAATAGAAAGGGGTGTGACAGAGAAGTGGATGATCAAATGTTCTGCATCTGTCTTACAAGGAAACCAAAGAGGAGACTCGAGTGTTGCCCAAGCAATGTGAGTTCCACAAATCCCAGATTAGAGCACACCAGAGTGGTTTATCCAGGATACCCTCAGACAACTAGATTGTCAGAGATAAAGGATGTCTTAGAAATCATCTAATCCCAAATCCTGCTAGGAGCAGGCACTTTGGAGTTGGCAGTTACACATGTCTATTCTGATGTTGCTAGGGGACCCTTGCCCCAGCCCCAATCCCTACTTGAACATGAGATACATGGAGTTATCAGCATCAGACACTGTTGACAGAGGTTTCTGTCCTGCCTGGTCCCACAGCCATTCAGTCCCAAATAAACACACAGAGATCTACATTAATTATAAACTGGTTGGCCTGTTAGCTCAGGCTTCTTATTAACTAATTCTTACACCTTAAATTAATCCATAATTCTTGTCTGTGTTGGCCACGTGGCTTGGTACCTTTATCAGCGAGACATTCTCATCTTCCTCTGCATCTGGATGATGACTGCAGACTGAGCCTTTTCATTTCTCAGAATTCTCCTGTTCTGGTCACCCACCTATACTTCTTGCCTGGCTACTGGCCAATCAGCATTTATTAAACCAATACAGGTGACAAATCTTTACAGGGTACAAGACCATTGTCCCACAGCAAGTCACATCATAGCTTGGTAGAGTTCTACTGTGTGGAGAGAGCCTGTCTGTCGTGTGCATGCTCATTCTGGGGTCCAGTCAATAGGAAGTGCTTCTCAGATCCTATCAGAGCATGGAGTATGGAGTGGGATTGGTCCTCAGAAGTCAGTAAGCCAGGCAACACAGAAGTGAAGACTAGGGATCTGTTGCCTATCTTTTCCCTAGAAGAGTGATGGGTGAGAGAATCTGAGGACTCCTTCATCTATGCCAAGATTGGTCCAACTTAAAACAAGTTTTGTGTCTCTACATAGAAACATACATAGTAAGGAAATGGCAGTGCCAAATATGATAAGAGAAAAGGGGAAAAACTGGGGTTAATTCTAGGGCTAGCTGGATTTCCTTCTTCTCTCGCTATGGGGTGGATAGAGCTGGCAATGTTGGGCTACGGTGTTCACTTCCTGTTTGTCTGGTTCTTTCTAGGGTATGTGAGTATGTGGGCACTTTGGAGCACACCCACTTCAGCGATGGTACCTCCCAGCCCCCTCTGACCATCCGTCAGCCACAGAAGACCTCCGGGAGCTCTGGCCTCCTTGGGGATCTTGAGTGTGAGGGCTCGTGTCAGGAGCAGACCCTGGAGCAGGGCCCCTCCCTGAGCACAGCCCCTGTGGTGCAGCCACGCTCCATCCAGGAGCTTGTTCAGGAGTGCAGCCGTGGCCGGACCTCAGACTTCCGGGGAGGCAGTCTGAGTGGGAACAGTGCCGCCAAGGTGGTCCTCAGCCTTTCCACCCAGGCCGACAGGTAATTGAGGCTAGCCTACCACACAAGGCTGCTGAGCTGGTGATTGTCTGGTGGCTGTGCTTATATTCACTTGTCTGGTCTCAAAATCAGCTGGGGAGAACTTGTATTAGCCAGATACTGAAAATGATTTCCAGAGAGAGCGCGCGCGTGCCTTGCCTGTTCTTTAGGCACCATCCACCTTTTTATTTTCTTTTCATTTATTTATGCAACAGGTTCTCTGGAACCTATCAAGAAGGCTAGGCTGGCCAAACAGCAGGCCCTCGTTTTCTGGGATCACTTACAAATATGAGCCACGACACTCTGCTTTCATGTGGGTCCTAGGAGTTGAATTCAGGTCCTTGGGATGGCAAAGGCAACCATTTCTTCAACTGAGCTATCTCCCAGCCCTCTTTCCATCTTCTGAAGGCATTGCCTTCCCCCTACCACACACCATCCTTCGAATGAACTCTAAGGCCTGAGTTCCAGGTCTGCCGCGGACTGTCTGCACTTAAGTCCCTGGTTTTGATACCATGTCTGACAACTCACTGGGCCCTGGCTTCCTCGCTGGTAAAACGAGGTTCTTTTTAGAAATAATTCTTATGGGGTAGTTATGAGGTTGAATTAAGTAATAACTTGTGCAGCACCTAGAACATGGCTTGGGAAATAGTAAAGATTCAATGTTTTGGTGATTCTTGCTATGAAATCCCATACCATGGGTTGTGGTGATGGCTCCGTAAACAAAGTGTTGGGTGCACAAGGGTGAGAACTGGAGATCAGATCCCCAGGGATTACATAAAAAGCCAGGCAGGCCTGGTAGCGCCCTGGACTTTTTAACACTTGGGAGGTAAGGACAGGATCCCTAAGTCAAGATAGTTACCTAGGCTGGCAGAAATCAACAAGCCCTGGGTTCAGTAAGAGAGCCTGAAGCAGCAAATGTGTGGAATGGGAGCAATCAAGGAAGATGCCTATCGCCGGCTTCAGGCTTGAGCACATGTGCACACACATGCACCTACACACATATGAACATGCGTGCTCATATGTATACACACACATGCGCACAAAAGAAAATAATAAAAATTTTCACTCAGGAACCCAGAAGTATGATACTTAATGATGCCTAAGGTAAAGGAAGGAAAACCAACTATTGCCTCAACTATTTGGCAACATGTCTTGATGTTGGAAATGTTTGTGAGCCCCAGTCACATATGGCATTGCCTTATCTATCCACTCAGCATATAGTCATTATGCCCAGGCCTCCTATAAAGGGAACAGACAGGGAGTGGCTAAGGCACCAGGCTGAGCATTCACTGGCTGGGCTCAGAGAGCCCTGGCTGCCTGTCCTAACCTTGATATTGACCTGCCTGATAGTGTCTGTAGAAACAGTTACACCGAGGCTTACTCCCCACTGGCTCATACACTGTGCACAGTGTTCTGGCTGGTAGAATAATCCCTTGTTCCTATTTATCCAGTGAATTGGCTATTCAAGTGTTTCTGGATCCTGGAAGTGGCACATGGGTGTCAGGGGGAGTGTAACACTCCTGGGGTCTCTTTGATAAAGCAAAAGAAAAAAAATGGCTAAGAGATCCAGAAGCAAAATAGAATCCTAATTGGAAACACAAAATAGCAAAGAAAATACTTCAGAAATATTTAACTATTGTTTCCATCCTTTTTTTGACTCATATTCTTTTACTGGGCATTAAATTATAATTTCTCATAAGCACTGCAATTTGAATTGGCTACTCCTTTAGGAAATCATGGCTTAAAATTTTAAGAGCAATTTTTATATATCTGTATATTATTTGTGTCTGTTCATTATCACAGATTGGGAATGATACTAATATATACCTCACCATAGGCCAAGTCATCTCTAATGCTCGTTATAAGATATACTTGCACATAGCCAGGCATGGGCACACAGCTAAAACCCCACCATTCTGGAAGCTGAGGCAGGAGGATCATGTGTTCCAGCCTTGGAAGCATAGGGAGTCTCACAAACTACATCAGCATTGTTGACTGTATTAGACAGTGTCCGGCGGCTTTTCTAAAGTGTAAGAATATAGTCACTGCTTGAATCCCAAATCACCACTTGTGACTATGTCCCTTTCATAGGAGGGCACAGTGATATTGACCTACAAAACCAAGCAGGCAGGATATCTATTGTCTTAGTATTTCTGTTAATAACCATGTGCATTTAGTTAAGAAATTAATAGCTGAAAACATTTAAAAATGTAGCCCAATTTGGTGTTGATAGAGAACACAGTGATTGTTGAAATTATGAGACTAGCACACATGACGTAATAAATGTATTCTCTGAAGTCTCAGAACACTTAATAGACTACCAAACTGTGTGTGTGTTTGTGGTGTTTGGTGTGTGAAGTTTGTGTGTGCTTATGTGCTGTATATTGGTGTTTGATATGTGTGTATATGTGTATGTGTACTGTGATGTGTGTGCTTTTGTGCTGGTGTTTGTTGGTACATGTGTGTGAATGTGAGCTGTGTGCTTACTTGAGCAAAGTTGTGTGCACTGTGTGTTTACTGTGTGTACTATGTGTATGTGCTGGTATATGTGAGGTATGTGTATATGGGTATGTATTGTGTGGTTGCTCTATCTGTATGATGTATGCTATGTGCCTGTGCTGTGTGTATGCTGTGTTTTTCATTAGATATTTCATGCCAATATAAGACCTCAGTTTGTAAACATAATTATCTTTGAAGTATAAAAAAAGATTTTGCTGCTATATTGATATAATTTCTTGGAAGAACAATCAAAGGGGGATTAATTTTAATTAAATTAGATATCTGTTAATGCTGGCTACAAAAATAAATTTTAACAAGGTATTTAAAAGTTAAAATATGTCTAATATAACTATAGTTTTAAAAGCTTATTGAATTTTTTAATTTATTTGTGCAAAACATGGTGATAAGTAGCTGGCAATCTTTGTTTTGGATAACCTCTTCACCTCAACATCGTGTGTGTGTGTGTGTGTGTGTGTGTGTGTGTGTGTGTGTGTGTGTGTTTGGTCTATCTTTCCGTCTCACTTTCTGTCTGGGAGTGAACAATTTACTCAAAGGAAATTCTCTAGTCCTCTTCATTGGATGATTAAAGTGGTTCCTAAGTTTCTTAAGCTTGAGACAAGAATGAGACAAGGATGGGTCTAAAGCCGGCTAAGTTTCTGAGTCCTTCTGCTTTCTCTGTCGAAGATTTTCACAGCTCCCGTGCTCAGAATGCATCCTCACCACTCAAAGGCTCCAGTGAATAGGCCATAATAATTATATAATAGAAACTAACATTAGTTCGTGGTGAAGGTGCCAAGCACTCTCCTGGATACTCCACACAGACCAGACAACCCTCCAGGCAGCCTAACCATGAGAGTTGTTAGCTTTATTTCTTAGAGGAGGAAAAGATAGGCCAGTGGCGTTAGCTAATTCATTTTCAATCGTTCCACTTTAGAATGATGGAGCCAGCAAAGGCTTCTGAGTCTGTCTCACTCCAATACTTTTACAGACAACATCACAAGTGTAATAAGTGCAGGCTTTTTTAAAAAAAAAAATAGAATCTCATGTCTCTTAGGCTGTTCCCAATTTGCTGTATAGCTGAGGATGGCCTTAAATCTCTTTCAAGCCTTAATATCCTCAGTGGGGGTGATTATAGCCTTGAACTTGTAACACCACTCTCAGTTTATGGTGTGCTGGTGATGGGACCCAGGCTTCAGGCATGCTGCATACACTCTACAAAGTAGTAGCATCCTCATCTACTAAAGCTGCAGGATTTATTTTTAATCTTTGTAAATGCATATTATGTTTTGCCCAAGTGTATGCCTGAGTACCGCATATACACATGGGGGACACTGGATCCCCTGGGACTATGTGCTGGAATTGAACTTGAGTCCTCCGAAAAAAATTCAGCCAGTGCTCTTAAGTGCTGAGCCATCTATTCAGCCCTAAAATTACAGAATCTTGTTTTGTTTTGTTTTGCTTGTTTTTGGTTTTTGAGACAGGGTTTCTCTATGTGACAGCCCTGGCTGTCCTGGAACTTACTCTGTAGACCAGGCTGGCCTCAAACTCATAGAAATTTGTCTGCCTCTGCCTCCCGAGTGCTGGGATTAAAGGTGCACCACCACTACCCAGCAAAATTACAGAATCTTAGTTAAGCATGACACTCTGATCCAGATGGCAATGGAAGACATTGTGATTAGAAAAATTCAATACACACTACATATGAAATTATTTCATACATTCCTCTTGGCGTCCAGAATGAACCTGTGGGTTTGATTTGCACTTATCTGCAGACTAAAGTTTTGTTTTGCTTCCTGTGAGCTTTGCAGTCATTCGTGTGAAGAAATGACTTTTCAAGGTCCTTGGCATTTCAAACTAGGTCCTTGACTTTGATGTTAAATTTCAAGCTTGCTTCATCTTTCTCAACAGCTGGGTTTATAAAATTTACAGAATTATAAAATGTCTCTTAATGCCTCATTTCTTTTACTCTTGCTGTCTTAAAGCTTAGTATATCTTATCTTAGCTTTTCGTAAAGGCTCAGGATTCAGTTTCCTGCACAAGACAGTGATCCTTGTGCAGATGGTATGGCACACCACTGACATCCCCGCAGGCTTGGCGGGTAGACCATAGGTGGCCTCACTGCTCACGGTGGTTATGGGAACCTGATGTACATCTCACCCTTCTCCCCATCGCCCTGGAATCTCTGGAAGCAATACTTTGTCATTTTTTCACATTCTTGCTGAACACTGTAGGATCACTTACCCCAACTGGCTAGCTTGGAACCTGCAAAGATTTTTTTCAAGGATGTCGTATGGTATTCATTGCATGAAAATCCCATTGCTAGTGCAGACTTTGGCACATTAATAATGGTTATGATCATACCACCCATTTGCCTGCAGTGTTCGGAGTTTTTGTTAATCACCTCAGCTGAATATATCATAATTATTCTGCCATACGCCCTTGCTGAATTGTTCCCACATAACACGTATGTTTATTTGCACCCAGGCTCTTCGACGATGCTACAGATAAGTTGAACCTCACGGCCTTGGGAGGGTTCCTCTACCAGCTAAAGAAAGCGTCTCAGTCCCAGCTTTTCCATTCTGTGACAGACACGGTCGATTACTCTCTGGCTATGCCAGGTAATTTTCCCTGGAGAAACTGGTGGTAGGTAAGGATGAAATAACCCCAGTGATGGATGCCAACGGCATGTGTGAAACATGACAGCAACAGTCATAACTGTTACAGTTTGAAACATCCATCCTCATGATCTGGGCTTCATGGTAAGCACTGGATGTGGGCCCTCACATTCATTTAATAATAAAAGGAACTTTAAGAAGTAGTTATATTTACCCCCTTGTTTTATACATGAGATCAGTGGAGAAAAGAGGGAAATCCTTGACCTATTCCAATGCAGCTACTAAAAGGGTCTAACTCCTCAGCGTTACTATTTAAGCCACTGTGTCTTGCCTTCTCTGTGGACATAGTGTTGAATTGGGGATAGTTTTTGGTCCTAGTGAGTGACCACCTTTCTGATTTTGAGTGAAAGGCTCTCTCCTTCCTTGATGAGCATCTGAAACCATCTTGCTATCCAAGACCACTGCCTTGATTTCTCAACTTCCTGGTGCTCGAGTCCTTTGAACTATTCCTGAGTTTGGGCTTTCTCATCTTGCCTTCCTGTAGGAGAAGTTAAGTCTACCCAGGATCGCAAAAGCGCTCTGCACCTGTTCCGCCTGGGGGATGCCATGCTGAGGATCGTGAGGAGCAAAGCCCGGCCCCTGCTCCATGTGATGCGCTGCTGGAGCCTTGTGGCACCACACCTGGTGGAGGTAAGCGTGGAAGGTGGGAAGAACCTGTGTGTCAGCTCAGGGAAGGCTTGCTACAGAGCCAGCAGAGCGGCTGTATTCAGAGGGCCATGGGGCAATGAGACCCTTCCCATAACCTGGTCATAAGCGCCAGTGTTCTCTGGTTATATATCAAGGCATCTGAGGGCTCACCTGAATATCAGTGCTGTGCTGGTCTCACTGTGGCCACCTCTATTCCAAGTATATGGCTCAACTAGTCTCCTTGCTAAGGTGGTTCTTGATTCTTACATTCTGATCTTGAGTCTGGAGCTAAAAGGTAGAACCCTCAATCAATTCTTCCCTTTGGGGCAACATCTTTGGTTCTTGTCTCTCTTCTCTGATAACTCAGTTTCTAGGGACATATTTTTAGGAGGGGGAACTGTAGCACCAGCACTATAGGATGGTACACGAGTCAGAAAAAGGAATGGAGATTTAAAAACCTACACATACAGGCAGCGACACGGGGATATGGGTCTTCCTCGAAATAGGAATGCCAACTTTATTGTGCTCCAGGGAAGCTTATATAGGGATCCTTAACTGATAGCCATGCCCCAGCTCTTGGGATTTCCAGCCAGAATTCACTCCCTTGCCATCAGGAACTCATGAGGGTCTCGTGCTCAGAGCAGCTGCAGGCACAGGAAAACAAGCTGTTTACTCCGGCAGGCAAAGAAAGTCAAGGAACCAGGGGTCTGCAACCCCCAACAAGGAACCATATATCCCGGTTTTCCTGAAGTGAATACTAACACCTTCCCGCTCCCCAGAGTAAAGCAGTTTACAGGATCAGTCTTGTGGTAGCTCTATACCAAATCATCGCAGTACATGAGGACTGGATCTGTTAGTCACTAATTCTGTCACTGTGATAAAACTCTGAGACCAAGACAGCTTATAGAGAGCAGGGATTATTTGGACTTCAGCTCCCATAATGACAGGGAAGCAGAGCCCGGAAGCTGAGAGGTCACACCTTCAGATATAAACGCAAAGCCCTGAGAACAGCCTGGAGGTCAGGTGATGCTACTAAATCTCAAAGCTTTCCAATAGTGTCACTTCCTTGAGCAAGGCGGTTCCACCTCCCCAGTATGCCAGCTAGGGACCAAGTGTTCACATAGATACCCGAGTCTATGGGAATCATTTCTCATTCAAACCACTCCACTGGCGAAGTAACAGGGAACATCATTGCCCTATTTACAATGGTAACTTCATAAACACCCTGCTGCACTTATTTAGTAAAGATAAACAAGAAAATACATCACAGAATTTAATTTACTAACCTGAAGATTGTCTAGTAAAGAAAGGTAAAAAATATCAATTTCTCCAAGGCCAAAGGTCCCATCGTCTAGATACTCGGCTACCATTAGCTACACTGAAAGCCGTGGAGCTTCAAACAGCATCCTTGTATTTCGCTCATTGATCTTCTCTAGCAGAAACTTGAAGCAAATGCTCTGGTAATTCTGGTCTGGTCTAGCGTGCTGGCTAGTTTTATTCCAGCTTGACCAAGCTAGCATCATTTGGGAAAAGGGAACCTCGGTTAAGAAAATGTCTCCCTCAGATTAGCCCATGGACTATCCTGTGGTACATTTTCTTGCTTGGTAACCAATGTGGGAGAACCTAACTTATTGTGGGTAGCACCACCCGTGGGCTGGTGGTTCTGGGTGCTTAAAAGAAAACAGTCTGAGTAAACCCTAATGAGCAAGCCAGTAAGCAGCACACCTTCACGGCCTCGGCCATCGGGTTCTGCCTCCAGGCTTCTCCCCTGCTTCAGTTCCTGTCCTGACTTCCCTTACTGATGGACTGTCACCTCGAAGTATAAGAGGAAGGAAGTCCTTTCCTCCCCTAGTTGCTTTTGGTCTTGGTGTCTTAGCTTGGAAATAGAAGCCCTAATTAAGACAGCGCTCTTGGCTGATTCCGACTGGCCCTTCTTATATATCCGTCGTAGTCGCCGACATAAAGACTAGTACCCTAATGTGTATATATTCCATACTTTCTTCATCCATTCTTCCATTGAAGGGCATCTAGGTTGTTTCCAGGTTCTGGCTATTACAAACAATGCTGCTATGAACATAGTAGAGCATATACTTTTGTTGTGTGATAAGGCCTCTCTTGGGTATATTCCCAAGAGTGGGGTCCATGGGTTAAAACCGGTCTCGCTGAACATAGTGGACAATGAGGACTACTGAGACCTCAAGAACAATGGCAGTGGGTTTTTGATCCTGCTGCACCTATTGGTTTTGTAGGAGCCTAGGCAGTTTTGTGGATGCTCACCTTACTAGACCTGGATGGAGGTGGGTGGTCCTTGGACTTCCCACAGGGCAGGGAACCCTGATTGCTCTTTGGGCTGACGAGGGAGGGGGACTTGATTGGGGGAGGGGGAGGGAAAGGGGAGGCGGCAGTGGGGAAGAGACAGAAATCTTTAATAAATAAATAAATAAATATACCAACCCAACATAAAAATATTTAAAAAAAAAAAAAAAAGACTAGTACCAACTAGTTCATGAGAGTTTTACCTGTGAAGGCTGATCAGAGTTCTCTCTAGGCTGACCCCTGGCGGTCAGTCCCCACTCATCAATACGGCCTTCTTAGGACTTCCTCAGGTGGAGCACAAACTCCGTATCACAGTTTGATACTTAGGGGATGGTTTCGGTTGTGACAGTAGACAAAGCAGGTCCCAGGTCAAAGTTGAGCCAATGTGGAATGGACTCCTGAAAGAGCATTAGATCCCAGCTCTGTGAACCAATTCATGTTCTCATTGCAATTGACGCACCTCACTAGGGGACAAATGACACACTTGATCGTAATATGTTAGGGGGATGACTAAGGATGAGGCATGCGCAGTTGCATAGGTTGCGGTGCCCGTGCTCTGTACTGCTGAGGAAAACTGTCAAGCTGAGAAAAAAGAAAATAGTAGAACCTTTCCTCTTCCAGAAACCTTAGCTTGACGTTGAAGTTGTATCTAACCAGTTGGTTAAATTTCAGATGCAATTCAATGTATTAACATCTGTATGCTAAAATTCCTTAGAATTTTGTTAAACAGAATCGCTCTCTCTACCTTTACATAATGAGGTGGGCTGGGGAAGCCTTCAGAAGCCACATTTTCCTCACCTGGCTTCCTGCTGGTGTTCAGCTCTCTCTTGTCTTGTGCAGGCCGCTTGCCACAAGGAGCGCCATGTGTCTCAGAAGGCTGTTTCCTTCATCCATGACATCCTGACCGAGGTTCTCACAGACTGGAATGAGCCACCTCACTTTCATTTCAACGAAGCGCTCTTCCGGCCCTTTGAGCGGATCATGCAGTTGGAGCTGTGTGATGAAGACGTTCAAGACCAGGTCAGTGTGACATGGGCTACGGCATCCTGTTCTCCAGGACTGGCATTTGGGGAGGGAGAAGCAGGCACTGTGCTCTGGTTCACATGCTGTCTTCCCAAGCAGTTGACAAAGCGAGGTTAAACAATTTAGCCAGGATCCCCTAGAAATTGATGGAATAGAAACACAGACTTACAGAATCTGGCTGCACTGATGGATAGCTTATAGACCGCACTATTGATCATACTCACCCTGCCTAATGGGGGACAAATGGAAGAAAGCAAACCCGGTGACCTCACAGGTGACACATTGGTAGGTCCAGAACTCAGCAGGCTCTCTCCCAAAATCAACTCAGATATTGAATAGAGCTTTTTGTTTCCTTTTAAATGCAATGACATATTGACAAGAAAATGAAACCTACTTAAATGGCACCATGGTGACAGCCAGAGAGGATGGACACCTACACAGCCCCTGGGCTGGTTTTGCTATAATGGATTGTACCATCAGATGAAGCCAGAGTTCATCATATCACATTCTCCGGGTTGTAGTAGCCAATGACAGCTATAAATCTCACTCAGGCTTCCCTTAGGCCAAGCATAAATATAAAAATAAGTAACATTAGAGAAAAGAGAAGAAATGAGGCTATATAGAAGCCAAATTCTGCTTTTTCCTCCCAAATAAAGTCAGTGTTAACTAGACATTTTATGTGATAAATTGAAGGTGCAAATTATAATCCCCTCATTAAAAAATGAAGAAAGTGGTGTATATATGAAGAGAATTATATTCTGTGTTATAAACAGAGATGTTAAAATGGCATGTGCTTAACATAAAGAAGGTAGTAAAAGAAGACTAGAAGAACAAAAGGTACAGTAAGTATGGGAAACAGCAAAATGCTGATGTAAGTTGATCCACATGCATAGTAGCTTTGAGTAGGATGCGCAGCATCGTTAGGAAAATGCAAATCGAACCCATGATGAGTACTGGTTCACTTGCTGTGGAGTGAGGGGCGGGGGGGAGCGGCTAAAAGCAAAGGGGAGATGATAACCACAGGTGAGATGCGAAGGAAATTACCATCAGAAGCTGGATTAAGAAAGCAAATTCTTTACTTGGTTCAGAACACAGCCTGGCAGTTCTACCAAGAGTGTGTCCCCAAGAGAAAGTAAGAAACCATTGATGGAAATGTTTGTGGTCACAGTCACATCATCAGATGGAATCAAGAGCTAGCGGTGGTGGTCTGTGCCTACAATTCCAGGAGGCAGGGGGATTACAAGAGCAGAGCCAGCATGGGCTTCATGGGATGTTCTAAGCCAGTCTGGGCTACTCTCTTGCGGTGGTGAGGAGGAGAGGCTGATAGAAGAAGACAGTGTAGAGCTAGAACCATGCAGATTCTAGCTTTGACAGAGTTTGTGGAATTGTGTTAGTGTCGGGTCAAAGATAAAAGACAAGCAAAGAGTATTACTATTACTAGACATCAGCATTTTATGATTAAAACCAACTCAGTACATTGGGAAGATATAAAAATGAAGGAGGGGGCTCTACAGATATAGTTCAGTCAGTACTGTACTGGCTATCTAAGCCTGAGGACCTGAATTAGATTCCACACCTGTGTAAAAGCAGGCATGTGATGCTCACTGTAACCCCATCTTGGTTGAAGTGGAGAACCCCTAGGGCTTGACTGCTGGCTAACCTGGTCAAACCAGCAAGCTCCAGGTTCAGTGGTAGACTGTTAAGTGGAGAGCAACAGAGGAAACTGCCCAATATCAACCTCTGGCCCTCATACAGGGCACTTACACATACACAACCTTGGAGATGCATGAAGACCCAACAACGGATTGGAGATACTCACCGTGGAGAAAAGTTACTGTTTAATGGGCAGAGAATCTCATTTTTGAAAGATGAAAATTTTGTGGGGATGGATAGCAGTGGAAGTATTAATCTGCATGAGCTATATGCAATTGGAAATGTGGTATATTTACACAGTATACATTTTCCTTTGACATAAAATGAATTATAATGAGATATCACAACACTTCCCTTGAAGCAATTGATAGAACAACCAGACAGCAATGACTCTGGGTAGAGATAGATAATGAGCAACACTGAGGACCAGTCTGAGTGACAGGTGCACATTTCCAAGTGCTTGTGGAGCTTTCTCTGTAATAGTTGTGATGCAAACCTATGAGGCAAGTCGCAATAAGTTTAACCAAATTCAAATCATACAAAGTATATTTTCTGCCCATCATGGGATTGGGTTCATAATAAATTATTTGGGAAAATGTTTAAATATTTGGAAATTCAACATCAAAATTCTAAGTAATCCTTAAGTCAATGAAGAAACGACAAGGAATCTTTTTTAAAAATGTCTTGAGTGAAAACATGACATACTGCATTTGTGGGATGTAGTTAAATTAGTATTTTGAGGGAAATTACAATTGCTAATGTTCATATTAAAATGGAAGACCTCTAAAGAAAGAAGTCCATGATTTTGGCCAATGGACTTGTGAGGAAGTCACTCTTGTAATTCAACAGAGGAAGTCGATGGTATTTTCAGCCAGTTTTACTTGGACATTTGTAAGAAAGATGAGCTTAACCCCTCACCTCTCAACACACACACACACACACACACACACACACACACACACACACACCACACTGAAAACTGGTCATGACTTAACATGAGCAAGAGCAATAACTGTAAGCATGGGTGAGGCAGAGTTTTCTTGGAAGCAATACCAGCAACATGACCCTTAGAAAGAAAAAAATGATGAATCAGACCTTATCAGAATTAAACATTGTATTCCCTGAAAGATAAAAATTAAGATATAATAATAAAAAGGAAAACTCAGGACTGGAGAGTTGGCTGCGTGGTTAAGAGCACTGGCTGCTCTTCCAGAGGACCCAGGTTCGATTCCTAACACACACATGATGTCTCACAACTGTCCATAACTCCAGTTCTATGGAATACAAAGTCTCTGCTGATTCCTCTGGACACCAGGCATGCATATGGTATACATATATACAGGTAAAATGCTCACACAGAAAATCTTTAAAAGAAAAAAAAAGATACGAATCGAAGTTGTAGGAGTTACTTAAAAAGCATGAAGTGGGAAGGCGATGAGGAGGCACATACCCAATACAAAAACCAGCAAGCTCACAGAAGGCTGATCTTGGGGAAATTTACTCGGCAACATTAGTTACTGGGAAAAGAAGCGAGTCTGTCTCAGCTGTGTTTTTCTCTCACTAAAATTAACTCAGAAATGAGGGGAGGGGGACAGAGAAGCCCGCCACCTTCCCTACAAGTTCTCCTTGTATTAATTAACCACTTCTGCCTTCCCTGTGCAGGTGGTCACCTCCATCGGAGAGCTGGTTGAGGTGTGCTCCACGCAGATCCAGTCAGGATGGAGACCCCTGTTCAGTGCTCTGGAGACAGTGCACAGCGGGAACAAGTCGGAGGTGAAGGAGTACCTGGTTGGGGAGTACTCCATGGGTAAGAACAGTTGGATGATTCTTGCCACAGCAGGCACCTTCGTTTCTTAGGCCGAATCTTGGCTCATCAACAGAACAGGAGGAGAGCTGTTCTGCCAGCCATGTTTTGTCAGTGGGAACATGAGGCTAAGACCTGGGGTTGGGTTGTTGCCAGCTGACCCAGAGTTCTGAGCTCATCAGGTCCTGCTCATGCCAAAAGGTTTTTGGTCCACCCTGTATTGCTATATACAGAGTTACTTCCTGAGACCACAGCGGGGAAATGTCACAACTTGAACATCTGAAAATATGAACTGCTGCAAATTCCAAAAAAAAAATGGATTTCAGAGTCTCAGTAAATTCTAGCAACTATTTCGAACTCTGAAAAACTCCAAATTCTGAAAAACATCTAGTCCCCAGCATTTAGGAAAAGGTACACTAAGCCTGTATCTATTTTCAAGTAAGAAGACAGAAAAGTATAAAACAGGGAAATCATAATTAGGGAATTTGGTCGGGCTAGAAATAGATTGGTATGCCCGGAGTCCAGGGGTGTTGTCTCAGTGATCCCCAAGGCCTTATTAACATTCAGAAACCCAGCAGAAGGACTTGTGGGATAGAGCATGCAGCTGTGGTAAGATTTATTGCATGGCTCATGACTAAGTTTCACTATGGTAATATAATAAGGGCATAGCCAGGTTATAAGGTAAAAAGACAGAGAATTGGAAGGATCCTATAGGTTTCCTTGCCTTCCCATAGAACATCACACAGGGAACTCTTCCCTGAGCAGTGGAAGTAGCAGCAACATAAAGTCCATTTATGTTGAAACTGGTCACATAGACATACTGTACCTGGCATATACCAACTCCCAGATGTTCACTATAAAGTAAAACTTTTGCTCAGCCTAGGATAGTGAAGCATCTTATGAGATTACTTGCCCGGGGATATTCTGAGAATCAAGTTCCTGGATGCCAGTCAAGAGCCACCTGATTGACAGCTCTACAAGCATGGTTTTCTATGACAAGCAGACTCGGGCCTTCTGTGTCTCTGCACAGGAATGAATGAACGAGTGTACTTCCCCAGAGGCTCTTCTGTCGATATTCTGCAGTCTCCTGTGCTGAAACATTCCAGAAGCCCCATGCTTACTGTACTGTAGACCACACATTGCTCTGGGTCTGTGTTCCTCCAGCTCGACCCTCCATTATCTCCCCAGCCTCCCCATAGCTCCCATTTAGGTGAAGCAGCAGGATAGGCTAGCTATTCGGTCAAAAGATCCAAACACTTCTCCAGTGACTCTTCTAAGACTACCTAGGAGATGCTGGAAACGTTAGCACCACAAAGGGTTAAAAACCTCCCTTCCTTACAATCTATCCCATTCCTCCCTCAGGAAAAGGCCAGGCTCCCGTGTTCGACGTGTTTGAAGCTTTTCTCAACACTGACAACATTCAGGTCTTTGCTAATGCAGCCACCAGTTACATCATGTGCCTTATGAAGTTCGTCAAAGGACTGGGTAAGTGGAACTCTCCTTTAATGACACCCTCGGTCACAGTAGACCCTTTAAAGGTGACTTTGTAGGGACATCCCTGGAGGCAGGGTGCAAGAGCAAGCATGCATCCTGGGATATGGACACATGGGCTCAGAGGCTCACTGCACTTTGAAGTTGATTTTTTTTTTTTTACTTTATAAAATATCTTGTGATATAATACATTCTCAAACTCTACATTATTTTATACCAACTTCCTTTTGGATCTTAGGATATCCCATTTACTCTTCAGTAATTGACCTTGTGTAGGAAACCGTGCCCGTCAGTATCACGGTTGGCAGTCGGAAAGTAAACTTAGGAATGCCTCCTCTTGCCTTCGGAATTGCAATGTGTGTTTGGATGAGTCAGCTTCCCCCTTCTTGAAGTCCTGGTCTATTTTAGGGAGCATGTAGGTGGTTAGATGCTCAAGTTAGAAACGTTTAATAGGGTGAAGTCTTGTATACAGCCTGACCGGCTGGAGCTGGGTTTTACAGAGCACAGATTCATCTGGGTGAGATGAAGCGAAGACTCGGGATTAAACCTGAGTCTTGGAAGACAACTGCATGCCTGAGAGGTTTACACAGAGAGCCTGAGCATCTTGGAAATGAGGAATATAGAAACTTGATGTTTGTATATCTTCTCAATAGATAATTGATACACTAATTATTTCTCTGTGAAAGAAACTGGACACAAGTTGTCACACTTGTCACCCTTATTTTTGAAGTAAGAACAAAACAAAGGCACAGAATGTATTTGTTTATTAGTCTGAGCTGTAGGCAATCCTTACCCTGTTCTGTTACAACATACAGTTGCCCTCTCCAGGGACATCCATGCAAGCAAAACACACACATAAAAATAAAAATATAGTAAAAATTAAAAAACAACTACAATACATGGATATCACATCAAGCAGTTTGGTAACCCAGATGGCTACAAAGAGACAATAGGTGGGTGCTGTATCCAGCCTGGATGCAGATCACGTCCATCTTGTTACTGACAAAAACACATGTAATTTAAAATTTAGGAATTTCTTCCTTCTGAAATTTTCACTCATGTTTTCATGTATACCCATGTAGGGATGCCAAATTATTAATGTGTACATGGAAGATATTTTGAAAAGGTGGGTTCTGTTTTGTTGTGCGGTCTATGAAGGAGAGTCAAGGTGTAAGACTTGGGGTTCCGTGGGAAAGACAGAACACCCCGTACAGTCATGCCTCCTGTGTACTACCTGGTTCCAGAGCCAACATCACTTGGGTATACAACATAGAAAAGGTAACACCTGCTAAATGGAGAGGATAGGAAATGACGCTATTGTTCATTTCCAGCTGTTTTTTTTTCCCCCACAAATTCGCCCTGGCCTCTGTTCTCAGTTGTAAGGTATATATGACTGTAAACCAGGAGCTGGCAAACTTACAATTCAAATCGAACTCCCTAACGGATTTTCCTGAAAACAGTTTTATTCTACCTTTGTGCTAGAGCAACAGGAATGAAGTCACACCCAGGCAGGATGACCCACAGGGCCTTGGGTACTTGCTCTCTGGCACTTTATAAAAAGTTTGCCAACCCTAATTTAAAATGTGAATTCATTTATTTCTTTTGTGTAGCAGCATGCCTCATTGCTTCTAAGTTTTAATTAATGCCTAGTAATTATGTCTGTTTACCCATAGGGAAGGATGCTTGCTGCTACAATTGCAGACAATTAGCAATAATCACAGTGCTGTGGAAGAATTTTATTAAAAGTATAGAAACAGATTCACGACACTGAAAATAAAAATTATAATTCTCATTTTTTTAACCTATAAATAAATCTTTTCCAGAGATGGGTTACATCTCTACAACTATATGAAAAGACACTAATTTAAGTCCAGTTAAGTTGCCTATGACTCCAAACCCTGTATGTTTGCTCTTCCTGGGCTCTTCATTTATTACCCCATGCTGGCAGCAGATAAAAATCCAAAGAGAGAGGCCAAGAGCCTCATTCCAGCCTTACAAGGCCTGCCTCTGGGACTGCTTTCTGTCGCCAAAGCCTCAGAAGTCACATCATCCAGCAGAGACTGTTAATGTGCTGGTGTGCAGAAATGCTCTCTCAGCCACCAGAAGTACTGGACCGGAGCAGACCAAGTGTTCCTCCTAGGGAGAACATTCATGGAGCGGAATCACGTTGGGATTATCCGAGCTGCTGTAGTTTTTTTTCCCCTCCCATGTGTATTTATTGGGGTCACATGTTGTGACTGGAGAACATGGGTAATTTTGTCTCTGTCCCCACTCTGCCCTAGGGGAGGTGGACTGTAAAGAGATTGGCGACTGTGTCCCCGGAGTGGGAGCCACTTCCACAGACCTGTGCCTGCCAGCTCTGGATTACCTCAGACGTTGTTCTCAGGTACTGGGGGGGGGAGGCAAACACAGCTCCACACCCCACAGCTGAGGGTATTCATAAGACATCAGCAAAAGTCTTTAGCTGAGACCCAAGAGACACTTTCATCTCTTCCACCTTAACCTCAGACCGCTCCATCTCCCGGGTTTCTCTTGTTCTTCTGCTTCCTTAGAGGTGGGGTCATGGGAAGGGGAAGCTGGAATCTGGTGCCCATTTTCCCATGGACTCTTCTCTGGGGTTCTCCAGAGACAAAACTATGTGACATGTTCACAGCAACCTGAGAGTGTTTTTAAAAATATATATATATAACTCAAATGTTGGAAAATTAGGCACCGTTCTGTTGCCAGTGAGCATTATTGCATCTGCTTCTTGACAGAAATGTTTTTGTTGCCTTTTAAATGCAAATCATAAGAACGTTTATTCTTCAGGAGCCCTTATAGTTCTGGGTCCCCTTTAATAAGTGGATTATAATCCTACTGTTCTCTAACACCAAGAAATTTCCAATATATAAGTGCACTATTTGGTGTGGTCTTCTTATCTAGTTATTGGCCAAGATCTACAAAATGCCCTTAAAGCCAATATTCCTTAGTGGGCGACTTGCCAGCTTGCCACGAAGGCTTCAGGAGCAGTCGGCCAGCAGCGAAGATGGAATCGAATCAGTCCTGTCGGATTTTGATGACGACACTGGTAAGCTTGTTGACTTGACTAGGATGGTTCGTTGTGTTCTTAATCCCAGAATCTTAGGGAATAAGTAAGTTAGTTTACAGATCATAACATAAGAGTGGTCATCCATTTCCATGTTTTTATATAATTGTTATCAGGATAAGTTTAGGGAGTCCCTGGAATCTCTGGTTAAAGTCAACACTAAGCCATTTCTTTGGCATGGCTGCCTCGGTGTAAAACCATCGCAGTTATGCGGACCCCATTCAAACCCTGATTTTTTTCTTGAATTTAGCAAATTAGGACAAAATTGCACTGGTGCTCATATAGGCTAGCAGCAAGTGCCTTCACTAGCTTCAAGGAAACACAGTTACTTCCCCCCTAAGACTACTTAGAGATAGGGGAAATTAAGCCATTACTGAAGGGAGACTGTGAGTGGTGAAGCCTGTGGGCTAAGGAAAGAATGCTTTTAAAGACTTTGTTTCAAATTAGGTGGCATGCAAGCTCCTACAAACCCACCTCCTAGCTAGTAACTCCAAGTGATCTTCCAGTGTGTGCACACCTGCCCGCACCTGCTGCCTGTGCGCTCAGAAGACCTCATCCAGTCCACACCTGGGAATGCAAATGACACTCTTCAATTTGAGAAACAGTATTAATGATTACACAAACTAAAATTATAAAAATAATGGAAGTGGCTAATTTTGTTCCTTTAGAAGAATGGACAGTAAGGCTAAGGATATAGCTTATTCAGTCATGGTTACCTCACACACATGATGCCCTGAGTTTGGTCTCCATCTCCACGTGAATATGATATAAAATAAGTGCCTGAAATCCCAGCACTTGGGAGGTGACTGACTATATAAATTTTGATATATCAACTATTATGCCTAGCTTTGTATAATCTATGTATACTTATGATATTTTTGTAAATGCTTGTACTTTTCACTGGGCAGGATAATTATGTATACTAAAAACCCATGGTAATACCTGAGAATATATCAGTTCTCAGAACTGTTTAGATGTTTTGTGTGTTATTATGTATATGTGAGGTGGGAAATGTCAATCAGAAGTTCAAGGTTCCTTGGCTAAATAGCAAGTTTGAGGCAAGCATGAGCTCCAAGAGACCCCATCTCACAAGAAAAACAAAGAAGACAGGAAATAAAACCAAATGGACAATTTTATATTTTTATTATCATTTGGTTAGAATGTCAAGAAGTCTGACAGTCATTTCAGTATCGAATTTACATATAATGTTGCCATTTTTAAAGTGGGGAGTTAGGGAAGAATTTTGAGTCTTTCAGACCATATTGACCAATCTCTGCCTCTCATAGGCACTGAGGGCTAACACTCCAAGCGATGACGGTCACCCCAGGGCCACTTGTCATTCATACGCAGTGCTCACCGAGATCTTGAGAGGATTCTTCCTGGATATCTGGGTTTCAGAGGGGTCCACTTTTTGTTTTCCAGGTCTGATAGAAGTTTGGATCATCCTATTGGAGCAGCTAACAGCAGCTGTGTCCAACTGCCCTCGGCAACACCAACCACCAACCTTAGATTTACTCTTTGAGCTGTTGAGAGATGTTACCAAAACACCTGGTAAGTGTCTCCGTCTGCTTCTACTGGCAGAGGGGTTGTTGGGCATGGAACTATTTCCAAGAAGGTACCTCTTTGGATGTTCCCCTGTGGTCACTGTTTCTTATATTTAATGCAAAGTTGCACGTTCAGTAGATGCTCAGTAATCATGTGTTGAATGGCCACAGTGAAGTGATGGGTCAGGTATGGCCCGGAAATTTCTACAAAAGATGTGTGGTTTTGATGCTGTTGGACTCCCACGTCCATCCATCCGTGTCTCCATAAGCCAGCTGGCTTTGCCATGATTTCAGCCTGTGCGGCCCCAGGACTGACAGGAGAGCTCAATACATCTGTCACTCATGAGCACACGCTGTACTAAGCAGCCTCTTGTCATGTGATTAGAGTTGGAGACGACACACAGCACCTAGGACTGTGTTGTAATTTTAGAAGTGGCACGAGAGAGAAAGACACCATGCAACAGAGTTCACGCAGAGGGGTTTTTGTTAAGTAAACGGAATATAAAAAGAAGGGGAGGGAGGAAACCGGCCTCTGGGGACAGGAGCAGCAGAAGAGGAGAGAGAGACAGACAGACAGACAGACAGAGAGGAGGGGGATAAACAGAGACAGGCAGAGAAGCAGAAAGGAACAGAAAGAGAGAGATGGGAGGTGGGTGGGGCCCTTTTAAAAGGGAGCATATTGAACATGCGCAGCAGGTCCTCTTAGTGACTGCAGCTGAAGATGCATCCTGTCAGAACCCCAAGGTCAGGCCAGCACATATATAATACCTGAATACTAGAAATAGTCCCCTGTGTGTAGAAAAGAAGAAGCCTTAGAAATGCATCTTTTGATATGAGTTTTAAAAACTTAGCATACATATTCTTCATTCCAAAGTTTCCTTTTATTCTTCATTCCAAAGTTTCCTCAGTCAAAGAAATTTTTATTTACTATTTTATGGGTGCTTTGCCTGCATAAATGTCTGTGCACCGTGTGCATACAGTGCCTGGAAAGGCCAGAAGAGGGCATCAGATCTCCTGGAACCGACGTTATGAACAGTTGTGGATTCTGGGAATCCAAAGGACCAGAGTTCAGCTCTTAACAGCTGAGGACATCTCTCCAACTCTGAAATTTCAGTTTTTAGTAATAGAATTAGAACCTTAATGAAACTACTAGTTAATCCCACAGTGAGAAGATGTCTCTCCATTGTTATAAAGATTTGATTATTAACACCTTCTCAAAACCCATTGCAAAGTTTGCAGCTAGTCTCATGTTTAAAAGCTAAAAGCGTCCCATTGAAGAGTTATGCACCACAGCTCCTCAGTACATCTCATTAGTAAGTGCCATTTTCAGTTCTCGTATTAATTAACACATGATACATATGAATGGTGTTTACTGTCAAAAATATCTATTTGTTGAACTCTCTTAAATGCTAAAATAAAAAATTGTGAAAAAAGTGAGAAGCAGTTAATAAGAGTGAATGACATTTATAAAGCATTATTTTAAATGTGGAATCAACTATTTAGAGTCTTTCTAAATACGCATACATACATGTACATTCAAAAACGACTTTAATTCTATTCTATGTTAAAATAGAATTATATCTGCAGGCACAGTTTTGCTCCACTCTCTATAGACTATGTAATTTTCATGTTCGTTATCTTTTGTATCTTTTATTATTTTTTTTTCTTGCTGGGTCTTACCGTTTAGCCCACATTGGCCTGAAACTGGTAATCTAGCTGTTGTAAACAGCCCAAGAAATAGAAGTATGAACCAAGCCTACCCTATTTTTATCTTGTTTTTAAAAATCTAATGTTTTTAAGGAAGCAAATATTTTCTTTATAGCATTGTCTACAGAATAAAAAAAATCCACATCTTAAATGTCTGTCAGTACTGAAATTGATAATAAATTACACCTATGTATAATGGAAATAGTATATGTCAGTGAAAATAAGGACTGTTTATAATACAAACTTTGTTCTTCATATTTATCAAAAAGTAGTTTTTAAAGCTTAGGCAGTGTGGTGGGAAATTGCCTGTAGCCACAGAGCTATTCAGGAGGCTCACGCAGGAAAACACATATGTCCAGGAGTTCAAGGTCTGTCTGGGTAACACAGTGAGACCCAGACTGTTAATAAACAAACCTATGTCCTATAGAAATATATATGTAATATATTTCAACATTCTTTCTATATGCATCTATGTCCTTATGCATCTGATTCTGAGGACTAAGAGATTAAGTGACATTTTAGCCTTGTGATATTTGAATTTGTATGTGTATTCCTATACCTACAGAGCTAAAATCATAGAAAGAAGAAAAATGTTCCTGTTATTACCCAGTGAGTTGTCAGTTCTTCCATATTTTCTCAGATATTGGGGAGCTCTTTGGAAAGAGATCTTTGATACCAGCCATAGCAAGAAACCCCTACTCCTCCTGCAGTCACGGTTCTGACCCTTCCCTTCCTTTTTCAGGCCCAGGGTTTGGAATCTATGCAGTTGTTCACCTTCTCCTTCCTGTGATGGCTCTGTGGCTCCGCCGTAGCCACAAGGACCATTCCTACTGGGATGTGGCATCTGCTAACTTCAAGCATGCCATCGGTCTGTCCTGCGAGCTGGTGGTGGAGCACATCCAAAGCTTTCTACACTCAGGTAGCTACAGTGCCAGGGCCAGCCCTTGTGGTCATTGCTTCTGCATGTAGCATCGTTATCTCCAAGTGCTTAGTGAATGACTGATGTAAATGCCTCTGTCTGGGGAACAAATGAAATATAACCATGTGGTTAGAACCAGTAATCTAATAGCATATCATTGGAGGGAAAATTGATATGCACGCAGCCTGTATAAAATTATCAAATGGATTGATCTGTGCTTGTTGTTGAAGATATAATGCCTAGTAGCAGGTCTAGCATAGCAATGCATAGGAGGGGAAGGCATATTCAAATACATAATCTTTAAAATCCCTGTAGCCAAAGTATACAGAAGTGGGGTTTCTTGTGCTTCTACATCTAAAGAGGGCAAATTAAAGAAATAGAATTTAGGAAAGGCTCCAGTTACCAGCAAGAAGTTCATTATCAGGGCAGGGATTATGGGAAGTATCTTAATGCCTGTGGCACTGAGGGTTCCCCACAGCTGATGGACTAGGAGGGACTAGGAGGGATTTACCACAGTTTTGGGGGGGGGTCTAGAGCTGAAGAAGGAGGGACAGACTTCAGCATGCAGATTAGACATGTCTAAAAGGGTTGATATTTTTGAGCAGACTGTTGCTTGCACAGGGTGGGGTGTGGGCAATACCACTAAATTGTTTCTGTGGCATCACAAGGGTCCTAGGAAGAACATACAGATGCATTCCTGGGGTTGGCAAACATACTGGTGTGAGGATCTCTCCTTCCTTCAGTCTGCAAATGATGTGCAGATGGACGCCAGATTGACAAGGTTCAGAAGTCACCAAACTGAAATGAGATTGCTTTGTTCTCCAAGAGCACTTACACGCTAATTCAGTTTCCAGCACCAAGGAAAGCATGTTCAGATTTTCCTTTTTAGAATCAGTTTTTTCCAGCAATTCATTTTCAGGCCATATATTATATCCTGTCTTGTTTGAATAGCTTAATAATATGCTGAACTTTAAACAATACACCACATTTCATCTTGCTGTATCTATAAACAGAATGAAACATGTCAAACCTGGGGAAGAGGACTCCAAAAATAAGCATTGCTTTGCTGTATTTTGTTTGTTTTGAGAGGGTATAGGAAGAGGGTATGCCATTCCTGTTCTTTTTTTATGTCTTACTTAGCCTTTCTTCTTTGGCCAGAGATGGCCGTCACGTTCTCTCTCTTTACACCTAAAACCTTTTTACTCCTTCCTGCAGACATCAGGTATGAGAGCATGATCAACACCATGCTGAAGGATCTCTTTGAGCTGCTGGTGGCATGTGTGGCCAAGCCCACAGAAACTATCTCCAGAGTTGGCTGTTCCTGCATTAGGTGAGAATAGGGTTCCTTGGCTCTCCCCAAAGGTGGAGTTTTATTGTGGAATCCAAAGGCATTATCTTTATGGTAGCAAATCACTTTTTTATAAATAATTTATAATGAATAGTCCTTTTTGATGTTTAGTCTATAAGTACTTTGTGTAGATGGGGGTAGACAAAGCAGAGATAGAGAAAGTGATGGGTGGTTTCCTTGGAGACAAAAGAGGAAGGTTTTCTTCGGAAGTGATGGTGGAGCATGGTGAGTGGAACCTGAGAATTAGGGTCCACTACCAGCTCCTAACCACCAGGTAGTTTGCCTCAATCTGTTCCTGGGTCCTATGAACCCCTGTGGGGGATTCTCTTAGATTTTAGGATCTTGTTCTCATGCCCCACTCCTGCTCCTAACAAGCCCCATTTTGGGATGCAGAATACTGATCCTATATACAATGACAACATAAAATTCCCTTGTGAGAACATTACTAGATGCCTAGGCCCTTCTATCTCTTTGGTGTAGATACCGAGAGTGATGGCATAGCCTCTAGACACAAACACAATTGTAATCCTAGCACCCAGTAGGTAGAGAAGAGGATTTGAGTTCAAAACCACCTTAGGCTACACAGAAAGGCAAGGTCTCAAAGAAAAAATAAAAACCACCAGAGAGAGGGTCACTGAAAACTGATAACATTGACCTCCAGAGGCGTTAATGATAAATACCCAGAAAGGACAGGAGAGCGGGGCTCAGAATAGCAATAATGGTGACACTTGGTTCCTTACTCAAAGTGATCGTCTTCATTATTTTTCTATTGTTACAATGAAAACACACTATGGCAAAGGCAATTTATAGAAGAGAGGGATTAATTGGGCTTACAGTTTCCAAGGCTTCACGTCCATGATGGTGGAGCAAGGGTGTGTCAGGAGAGTAGCTGAGAGCTCCTATCTCAGACCACAAGCTGAGAGTACCCTACACTGGAGATGGCAAAAGGCTTGGGAAACCTTAAACAAGGCCACACATCTTAAGCCCTTCCCAAACAGCCACTCACTGGAGACTCTGTATTCAAAACCAGAGACTTTCTGGGAACATCTCATTGAGACCACAATTGTAAGTCTTCACTAGGTGATTATTCCAGTTAGGAGAACAAGACAACAGGTGCAAGGAGATAGTAAGAGTTTGGGTCTTATTTTATGTGGTTAGGGTTTGTAGAGGAGTGATTACAATCAGGGCCAGGATGGGAAAATAAATGAAGGGCACACAGCCCTACATATAAGCCCATGGTTAAATGTGGGGCTGTTTGCAATGGAAATCCATTGATGTGTCTAAACTAAAACGGTTTAGATATTAGTATCTTGACAGTGCACGACCAGAGGGGTGGAAGGCAGGAGTGAGGAGACAGGAAGTCTTGCAGAGCAAGAACGGGATAAGCCTGTGTTCCACTCAACCTTGAGGACGCAGAATTTGTGGACACGGGATATACGCCTTTTGGCAGGTACGTCCTCGTGACCGCGGGTCCTGTGTTCACTGAGGAAATGTGGCGACTTGCGTGCTGCGCCCTGCAGGATGCCTTCTCTGCCACTCTCAAGCCAGTGAAGGTAAGACGAGGAGGGAGGCGATGTTTTCCTCTTTCCTAGCCCCCTGACGCTTAGTCAAACTGGGCACCTGAGCTCTGTCTGCCTCCTCATACAGTTGCATAGTAGCAGAACATGAGGAAAAAACAAAAAACACTGGGTTGGTTCTTTTGTTTTTTTTTTTTTTTTAATCAGTATCAGATTCGAGACTAGGCCTGGCACTCTGAGCACAGTCAAACCCTATGAATGCTTGCTGTTCCTCCCTAGGACCTGCTAGGCTGCTTCCACAGTGGCACAGAGGGCTTCAGTGGGGAAGGCTGCCAGGTGCGGGTAGCAGCGCCATCCTCCTCCCCGAGTGCTGAGGCAGAGTACTGGCGCATCCGGGCCATGGCCCAGCAGGTAAGAGATGGACAGTGTGGGTCTTGGGACTTCAGAAGCATGAGATGCATGCTCAGAGTCATCTTGAATGTCCTATATCACCAGGCGCCTCTCACTCCCTCAGAGACATACACGTTAAGGCTCTAAGCCCATCAGTAACATTTTCCCACTGGAACGGCTTTAGCTCATTCTCCCTACACCATTCTTTGAAGGTTGTATTCTTTTGAACTCAGATCAGAGCCCATCCTACAGCCTGGACTTCATCTACACCTTGCTTGGGCTACTTAGAAGGGTTTTCTAAATACGGGTGACTAAAGATTGTTCAGGCATTACATTCTTATCACCCATACAGAATACAGTCCTTAATATTTTAAGTGACTTAGCACATTTGAATTGAATATAGCCAACCATTAAAACCATCTTCATATACACCGGGTTTGGCTCTTAGCCCCCATGTCCGATGGCTCACAAGCACTTTTAATGCTAGATCCAGGGAATCTGTTGACAAGTTTCCCATCCAGGTTTCTTCTGAAGGACTTTGCCCAGCAGTGCTCAGCAAAAGAGACAAGGAAGAGCCTTCCATATTCAGTTTGTCACCTCGCCTGCTGAGCACATTCCTAATGTCCTGGGACATGACCGTTCTGAAGAGAGAGGCAGGTCCCTAGGAAGCATCCATGATGTGTCTGCAGAAGAAGGGACAGAGGAAAAATAAGGCTGCAACCAAGAGCCCCTTCAACAGCGTAGCAACTGTGGCCAGCTGCAGCAATAAGTTGGGCTTTGAGCAAAGCTCAAGGTGGCCCTCCTCAGGAATGGCTTCTCTAAAAAGAAACCTGTGACAGTTGGTTGTTTCACATGTTTACACTGTGGGATTTTCAGCTGTGTGCAAGCATGCAGTAGACTATAAAAATGACAGCTAGGCAAGGGGGCAAATGCCTATAATTCCAGCATTCGGGAGGCAGAAGGACCCTGAATTCAGACTAGCTGGGCTATAGGATAAGTTTCAAGCCAGCTTGGTGATCCTATTTCAAACTCGGCAACAGATGGACCATCAACAGAGAAGCCTCTCCTGAAATCTGTATTAATGGAGAAGAACAGGGAAGTGTTTCACCCCTTCAGTTCCAAACCTCCCTTCTATATTTACAGTTAAAAATAGCTAGTTGTGGGAAATAAAGGGTTTCCTTTAAAAAGGGAGTCTAAAAGGTCTTTAAGTCCAAAGAAATGAGACCTTGGAGCAGTGGTCTGATAGATGTTTGGAATTTTCAGCCACCTCTGTGCAAGCCACATCAGGAGTCCTAATAGGAAAGTGGTCCAGAAAGGAACTGAGAATCTTAGCTGCATTTATTTGTTTGAGACATAGCCCTGGCTGGCCTGGAACTCAGAGAGATCTGCCTGCCTCTGTTTCCTGAGTGCTGGGATTAAAAGCGTCACCATGGTTGACTGAGTCTTCATTTCTTATTTCTGCCTTGGATATAAAAGCTAGAGATAAAGAGATGTAGAAAAATGGTAGAGTGTTTGCCTAGCATGTGCAAGCCCCTCTAAAACATATGTATGTGTGTGCGCATGCATGTGTGTGCATGCATATTCTATGTACACACATATACACACATATATATGTTTAATATATGCATAATATATGCATATATGTGTGTGTATGTGTGTATGAGCTTTTACAGATGTAGCTTGTATCCTGGTTAGTGTTTTGATACCTTGGCGCAGCTAGGGTCATCTGGAAAGAGGAAAGCTCTATTGAAAACATGTCCCCATCAGATTGGCCTGACCAAGCCTGTGGGTCATCTTCCTGATTGATGACTCATGTGGGGCCACCCCTGCGCTGGCAGTCCTAGGTGTCTAAGAAAGCAGACCGAGTAAGCCATGGGACAGAGCCAGTAAGCAACAATCCTTCAAGCCTCCACCTTCCTGCTTGAGGTCCAGCCCTGACTTCCCTCATGGACTGACTATGACCTGAAAGTTCTAAGATGAAGTTAACTCCTTCCTCCCCAAGTTGCTTTTGGTCATGGAGTGTATCACAGCAATAGAAAGCAAACTTACACCAACCCCCTTGTATTTGGTATTGCTGCCTAGTGTCATACTCGGAGGGTAATGAACTGACATGTGATGGGATGGTATTATTAATGTTGGTAGTCAATGCTTATTATTTGCTCTGCATATGTAATATACATGTATCAATTTATTTCATCATCTCTATCAGGTGGAAGCCATTGTCATCTCACTTCATAAGTAAAGACACGGGTAAAGAATAAACTACTTACCTGGGGTCACTAGCCAGCGGCATTGGTAGCTGCGGGCTTCTTAACTGTCCCTTTGTGTACATATATATTCTTCTTGCAGGTGTTTATGCTGGACACCCAGTGCTCACCAAAGACTCCGAACAACTTCGATCATGCTCAGTCCTGTCAGCTCATCATTGAACTGCCTCCTGATGAGAAGCCAAACGGGCATGCCAAGAAAAGGTAAGCCGCTGCAAACACAGAGAACGCTCTTAATATAAGAACGCTCACCTTTTCTTTCCCACTCCCTCTCTTTAATCCAAACTCTAGCTAGGAACACTAGCAGCATTGTAGATCATCTAGCAAAGGTTTCCATGAAAATGGCAAGCCTTTTAACCACATTTTACACACGCAGTGTATACTGTTTAATCCATAGGGAACCAATGCAGGCTAGGTGACTGACAACGCCGACATGTTTTGGAGGCTCAAAGTCAGAGGTCAAGGTGTGGGCGGGACTTGTTAAGCTTGTAGATGGCAGTCTTCTGAGTCCACACATGGCGATTCCTCTATGTTTTTCTGTACAGATTTCCTCTAACAAAGAGTGTGTATATACCAGACTAAGATCCCCCCAAATGACTTCACTTTTATTTGCCTCCTCAAAGACCCTTCTTGTAAATATGATCTATTCTGACTGGGATTAGGTGTTTGACATATGCATTTGGATAGGATACAACTCAGTTCATAAAATCTTATGTGTAATAATCTTATTTAAGGTGTTAATTGGATTTTTAAACAAAACGTAGAGCAGTCAGTTCTGCCCAGGAGTCCAAGGTTAGCCAGGCATCATAACAAGACTTTAAAATACATACCTGAACTGTGCCAATCTGAAATAGGGTAGTTAATTCAGACTGTTCCAATGACTAATAATACAACTGTGCTGTCAGGAGGCAAAAAGATCCATGTCTTATCAGAAGATATTTTTAAATACTATCATCTTTCCTGAAAAATCCTTGTTCTTGGAGTCGGATGCAAAGGCAAAGCTACCTGGCTTTGCTTTGGGAAATTAATAGCAATAATTGTTTAACATTGGGTAAGGGTACAGCAGATAACATCCCACTTGCCTTTTAACCCATGAGGACAAGAAAAGCCAAGTTACATATCCAAAAATATACAACCACCAAGTGTGAAAACCAGAAGCAAACCAAGTTCTGGAGGAACACAAGACCTCTGCCCTTCACCACTCTGGGGAGCAAGTAGGTGCAAAGGACTTGGGTTGGCATTCCTCCAGACTTGTGTTTTAATCCTAACTCCTCAGGTTACGACTAGAAGGTAAGGCCTTTGGTAAACCATGAGGTTTGAGCCCTTCATGAATGGGACTAATGCCTTTGAGAGAAACAGGAGTGCTCCCTTGTCCCAGTCTACAGCTAGCAGAAAAACCCTTACCAGGTCCAGTCATACTGATACTCTGTTCTCAGACTTCCAACTGCCAAACACTGTAAAAATCAACCTCATTGATGAAAAAACAGCCCAATCCGTGGGATTTCACTATAGCAACCTGAACAAAGGCAGCTGTTACCACTGCACAGCCTCTGGGTGATTTGAGTAACAGCTTGTTTAATATAACCATTTAGGTGAAATTCCTGTGGAATATTCTAGCTAGCATTTGTTGTACACAAAAGAATACATGGAATATATATATATGTATGTATTAAAATTATGAAACATGAAAAATTATATGCATGAACCTGTCACACAAAAAAAGAACTTTAACAGTATCCCATGTACTTTCCCCCCAATTCCAGCTCCTGCTTCCCCCAACATCAGCTTTTAAGGGTAGGTCATAACTGTCTACTTTAGATGTTAAAGACAATGAAAAAGATAAGATACTGCGCTTCTTTTTTAGGATAATACTGCAAAGTACAGATGATAGAGAACTGAGCAGGTCTGTAAAGGATTTGCCTTCTTAGTTTGGGTCCTTACATTGTAGACTTGAAGCACTTAGACCAAATTGGTAATGCTCTAATTTCCTTCCTGTTTCTGTCATAAAACACTGATCAAAGGTAGCTTGAAGGAGAAAGGGTTTGTTTGGCTCATACTTCCAGATCATGGTCCATCACTGAAGGAAGTCAGCGCAGGACCTTGAATCACAAACCATAAATTGTTGGCTCTCTCAGACTCATGCTTAACTTTCTTTTACCCAAGACTACAAGCCTAGGACATGATGCCGCTTACAGTGAGCTGGAGTCTCCCATAACAACTCAAGACAGTCAGTACAACCCCTAACATAGCCACAGACCAACCTGGAAAGGATAGAAACTTTTTTATTAGGTGATTCTAGACTTTTATCAAGTTGACTACTAATAACAAGGACAAGTAGAACCTTCTGCAGAGGAACAGATATTCAGGTTTGCTAATACTGAGTGACTTTAACCAAAAAGCTGTCTACATAGGAGCCAGGGAGAGAGAGGGAGTTCTTTAATGTACAGAGTTGCTGCCCAAGATGATGAAAAGGCTTTAGAGTGACAGTGACGTTTTTTGTTGTTTTTTTTTTTAATATTTATTATGTATACAATAGTCTATCTGTATGTATGTCTGCAGGCCAGAAGAGGGCACCAGACCTCATTACAGATGGTTGTGAGCCACCATGTGGTTGCTGGGAATTGAACTCAGAACCTTTGGAAAAGCAGGCAATGCTCTTAACCACTGAGCCATCTTTATATCAGCACAGTGACAACACTCAGCACCACTGAATTGTATAGTTAAAATACAGTGTGTTGTATGTGTGTGCAATGTATGTACACATTGCAGAAATCATTTCAGCCATCTGACAGGGTTACTGATTTAGGGTGGCAACCCCTTACTGTGTATTTCATCCTGAATGAGAGTCATGGTTTTTCCTCAGTGACAAGCACATGAAGTGAAAAGCCCATATTTAGATTAACGGATGATTTTTTTGTTCTTCTAGCTGAAACAATCATTTTTGTTAAGTATAAAAGTAATTTTAAAATTGTTTCATAGTGGGGCAGACTAAAACAAGAAAATACCAACAAGGTGGCTGGTCCTAAGGATGGTTCCGTAGTTCCTGTGTAGAGTACCAGCATTTAGGAGTTGGAAGCAGGAGATCAGAAGTTAAGGCCATCCATCCTCATCTACATAGCAAGTTTGAGGTCAGCCTGGGCTACATCAGATCCTGTCTTTAAAGAAGTCTGGACCTTGTATCAGTTACAGGAATTAGTTGGCAGCATGATGCTATAGGCAATAAAACAATAGAAGCTATTTTCATAAAATTCTAGGAGCAATGAAAGGAACATGAGACCACAAACCACACTGGTCAATTAAAGTGGTGATAGCCTGAAATAGAAATTATTTTCTCGGTACAAAAAGCAGCCAAACCAAGCATTTGAGCATTTACATATAAACTACCTTATCTGAATTGTTTGTTGATTAGAGAAGTGTGGAACTGTCACATTCATTACCTGCCCACTGCTCAGCCAGATGCCCCCAGTGATGTCTAGGGAGGATGAGCGCTCTCTCATCTCTCAGTCTACAGAGCTAACCTGAAAGCTGACTCAGGGAAATCAAATGACCATGCAAGCTTTGTGCCACAGTCCCCCTGGCCAAACTGGCAGACAGAGAATTGACATGAGTGGATGCTGTTTGCCCAGACTTGCTGTGGAAGTTTATGAGCAAAGAGTGGTGGGCCACTTCCCACCGCCCAGCTAGCTTTACCTGAAATAATGACATAGAAACTGTATTCTTTTAAACACTGCTTGGCCCATTAGCTAGCTCTAGCCTCTTACTGGCTAACTCTCACATCTTGATTAACCCATTTCTAATAATCTGTGTAGCACCACAAGGTGGTGGCTTACCGGGAAGATTCTTAACCTGCGTCCATCTCGGAGAGGAGAGCGATGGCATCTGTCTCACTGCCTTCTTCCCAGCATTCTGTTCGGTCTACTCCACCTATCTAAATTCTACCCTATCAGGCCAAGCAGTTTTCTTTAATTAACCAATGAAAGCAACACATAGAAAGAAGATCCACCTACATCAATTTTATAATGGTAGCACCATAATAGCAGTAGCATAGAAATTTCCAGTGCCTAAAGCATTAGCATTTGACCCTTGAAAATTCTTGGTAGCAAAAACAAGCCGGTAAGACTTCCATATGTATGTGTGTAAGAAAATAGGGTAGGAGGTTAGAAGGGTTAGGGGTGTCCTGATTTGTAATATGAAGGTGTTGTGTTTATTTCCTATGACTTGATAATTCAGTACCTTAATTTACCATCAACAGCTCCTGGATTTTAAAAAGGTGCCAGGAATTCTATCAGCTATGGTTAAAAGGGAAGTTTACCCCTTTTAAAGAGAGATATTAAAGGGCAGGCAAGATGGCTTAGTGAGTAAAGGTGATTGTAACGGGGTAAGATGACTTGAGCTAGATCCCCTGCACACACATGGCGGAGGAACTAGAGGACACTGAACCCTACAAATACTCCTCTGGCCTCCACATATTCCACATGCATGCACACACATAATTAAAAATAATTTTGGAACACAGTGGACTTAGTTGGGAGTGTCACATGTTCTGAAATGGATCGTGCCTACCTTGCTGTGAAAGAAGGGAGAAGGCAGAAAGCCACTAACCATTCCCTGTCTTTGCATTTGAAGTGTTTCTTTCAGGGAGATCGTGGTGAGCTTGCTTTCTCACCAAGTACTGCTCCAGAACCTGTATGACGTCCTGCTGGAAGAGTTTGTCAAAGGCCCCTCTCCAGGAGAAGAGAAGACATCGGTCCAAGTGCCAGACACCAAGCTGGCTGGCTTCCTCAGATACATCTCCATGCAGAACCTGGCTGTGATATTTGACCTGCTCCTGGACTCCTACAGGACTGCCCGGGAATTCGACACAAGCCCGGGCCTGAAGTGCCTGCTGAAGAAAGTGTCGGGCATCGGAGGCGCAGCCAACCTGTACCGACAGTCGGCCATGAGCTTCAACATTTACTTTCATGCCCTGGTCTGTGCCGTTCTCACCAACCAAGAAACCATCACTGCGGAGCAAGTGAAGAAGGTCCTCTTTGACGAGGAGGAGAGGAGCTCTGATTCCTCGCAGCAGTGCTCGTCGGAGGATGAAGACATCTTTGAAGAGACTGCACAGGTGAGCCCTCCGCGAGGCAAGGAGAAAAGGCAGTGGAGGGCCCGCCTGCCTTCGCTCAGTGTACAGCCAGTGAGCAACGCAGACTGGGTGTGGTTGGTCAAGAGGCTGCACAAGCTCTGCATGGAGCTCTGTAACCACTACATCCAGATGCATCTGGACCTGGAGAGCAGCTTGGAGGAGCCACCCACCTTCAAGAGTGACCCGTTCTTCATCCTCCCCTCCTTCCAGTCTGAGTCGTCCACACCATCCACGGGAGGCTTCTCCGGGAAAAACACGCCGTCGGAAGATGATCGCAGAGAACACCTAAGTGAGCCTCTGAGCCTGAGAGTGGGCAGCGGGGACGTGCTGCTGCTACCCCCCAGCCCCAAGATAGAGAGGAAGGATCCTGGCCGCAAGAAAGAGTGGTGGGAGAGCGCGGGGAACAAGATTTGCACCATGGCTGCTGACAAGACCATCTCAAAGCTGATGACTGAGTACAAGAAGAGGAGGCAGCCGCACAACCTGCCTGCCTTCCCCAAGGAAGTCAAGGTGGATAAGAAGGGCGAGCCCCTGGGGCCCCGGGGTCCCGATTCCCCACTGCTTCAGCGGCCACAGCATCTCATGGACCAAGGGCAGATGCGCCATTCCTTCAGCGCAGGCCCAGAGCTGCTGCGGCAGGAGAAGAGACCCCGCTCGGGCTCCACCGGGAGCTCCCTGAGTGTCTCCGTGCGAGATGCAGAGGCACAGATCCAGGTACGGTCCAGCTAGCAGTTTGCTGCAGATGCCAGAGGTGTCCCCCTTGCAAAACCTGCATCCCCAGAGATGTGAAACCAGCAGGGGAAACGAAGGATGGAGTTCAGGTGGCTGAGTGCTTGCCTAGCATGCAGGAAGCCCTGGGTTATATCCCCCCACTCCCGTTCACCTTCCTGAACTAGGTATGGTCAGTCCTGCAATCCCCCAACAGAGGAAGTGAAGACAGAGAGATAAGTTCAAAGTCATCCTTGGCTAACTTTGAGTTACTTGTTGTGGGCAGATCAGGCTACATCAGACAAACAGAGATCTGGTACATAGCAGGTGATATAAATCATACCTCCAAGTCAGAATGACTGGACCTAGGCTGTGCCATCTGCCTGAGAAACAAATTTTCTTCTCAGGTCATTTCAGAAACCATTTTCCTATGTTGGCATACACAATTGAGAAGTAGGAAGCCACCTGTATACATAAGACACTAAAGCTGATTTTACAAATAGGCTTTAGCTGGCATTGAGCTCTCCTCCTGTCATTTGAATATGGCTCTGGGTCTGTTCTGTTGTTCAGAAACAATGTATAAAGAAAAGAGCCAGACTGGATGCTGCTTTGTTAAAATGGATCATTTTAACCATTGTGAGCACATACATAGCATATCAAAAGGAGTTTGAGAGAGAAACAGCATTGATAGTGCTTATCCAGTATAAGAAAATATGGAAACAAAGAACTAGGGCGATTCTAGATGAAGTCCTTTACTGTAGAGTCTTGCTAAAGGTGCATCAGAGGAACTCTGCATGTACACACATTTGAAATACACCCTACAGGAGTCACGCCTCCTCCTTTGAAACATATACAACAGAGAAGTAAACTTGATAAGACCGAGTCTGCCTAAGTTTGCTAGACTAGTTTCTTCAGTACTAGGGATTGAGCCTAAGGCCTGATGCATGTAAGGCAAGCCCTCTTCACTAAGGGACATCCCTGGTTTGGGCTATGTTGTTTTTAAAGTATCCAGTAACCATGAGATAGCTGTTTATTCTTTTGCTGGTAAATTTCTTGGTGAATCCTGTCTCTTAATTGTTTTTAAATGTGTTTGGGTTTTAAGGATTTTAAATCTCCTAAATTAAGGTAGAAGGATCTCAAGTGATCCAGGTGCTAGCAGACAGCTAATTGAACTATCAGCGTCCGATGCCGATTATCTCCTCCTGCGTTTTTAGTCTTAACAGTTTGTGAAAGCTAAACATAAGCCATCCCTCATGTTAGAGGATTCTCTTCCCACCCTTCAGTATGTGAAATGAAAACCAGTTTATTATAGGCACATTAAATCATTATTATATAGGGCTCAATCCTGAGAAAACCATGTGCAGATTCCCAGAGCTTAACAGTGCAGCTGTGCAAAACCATGAGGCAGCCAGTAACTCTCTTCCATCCTCTCTCATAGGCATGGACCAACATGGTGCTAACCGTTCTCAATCAGATTCAAATCCTTCCAGACCAGACCTTCACGGCCCTCCAGCCAGCAGTGTTCCCATGTATCAGCCAGCTGACCTGTCACGTGACTGACATCAGAGTTCGGCAGGCTGTGAGGGAATGGCTTGGAAGAGTGGGCCGCGTCTATGACATCATCGTTTAGTAGACTCAAATCCCTGTGGTCAGAGTCTGTCTGTCCATCCAGCTGATAGTGTTTTCCCTACCACCAGCCCATTCAAGCTAGGTCTCTGAGAAACTAGTTCTCTGAAACCTAGCAACGCAAAGCTTTTTCCAAGCTCTCTGAAAATTAGCCAGCCTTGGGCTAGTCTGGATGCCAAAGTAGTATCCAAGGGACACGGTGATCTCTGGCCTCGCACACTGTTACAGGAGAGTCTGCATTCACTTCTAAATCTAAATTTAATTTCCAAGTGCATTTGCTTGTCGTAGTCTACCCAAATGGGTCATTTTTAAGAGCTCTCCTGTAGAAGCCCGAGGCTGATCCATTTAATCCATCATTTTCAAAAATCAATGTTAAGTCCTAAGAAAACATTTGCCGGTGAGTCAAGCTGATATATATATTCATATATCTAGCACCAGACATAATTAATCAGAAGAATTTTTACATTCTGATGATTATAATTTGGTTGGGAAGAAAACTGCAAAAGTGTATTTTTTCCAGTGCTCTAATCAAGGGAAAAAAATTACTTCTAAAATATATTCAGGACCATTTCAACATTATTAAGTTGTTAAGATTTTCAGGTTAATAGTCATAACTTCCCCCAGGTAAGGTACTGTTGTGCCTTTATTTCTCTGTTTCTAAAGGAAGGAAATTCTTTCCTAGCGTGATTTTGAAGTCTGTGGCTCAGCAGTGGTGTGCACTGTCGCGAGACTTTGATACTGACGACCCTGTGTCCCATGAGTCTTTGCTTCTGCTCCCAAGGCAGACAAAGAAAAATGGTGCCTTAGTCTTTTGTTGCACAGACATTTCTATGCCCCACAATTATCTGACTGTAAGGTATGACACTCAGATTTCTTAAAATGCAATTCACTTTATATCCGTATCCTTTGGAGGAAACGAACTCGGAGTCCTCCATCTGGTGGGCATACTTCTCAGGGGAGGGGCAAGAAGTGTGGAATGGGGATACAGCTGGAAGGGGTGGGCTAGGGACCGTGACAGGATCGTTGTAAACCTTCCACTACAGCACAGTTGGGAGAGGATGGTGTGAGTTACACAAACTCTAGACTGAACGGGAAGGGACACAATGAATTTAGAAAACTATTTTTTTTCTATATAAAACACTTCTCTCTAGCAAATTTACTCTCTTAACTCATGTTATTCAGACCAATATTTTAAGGAGATATTTCTTTTTCTAAGTATCATTAGAAAATTTATTTGAAACGTAGTACCATATCTGTGGCGGGTTAGGAATTAAGAGTGAGGTTCAATCCCTGATACTTAGGAACCACTGAGCTTCCCCAGCCCTCACCACATATTATATACATTTCTTACAGTATAGTAATGACTATAAAGCTTTTCAGGAAAGCCCACTCACACTCTACAGTGTAGGATTGGTTACCGAGGCATATGTGGCATTTCCCCAGTGCCTGAAACTATATTCATATGTCATCCTGTAAAAATGAGACTTCACTCTTCAGTACTGAAGGACCTCACAGGGGCTGAACTTTATCCGGCAGTAATCATCAGTGTTGCCCTCCGTGAGAACTCAATAGCTATCTACAAGGTCAAAGAAAGGTGGACTGGCTTGTTTGGGGGGGTCAAAAAGAAATCCCCATTCTCCATGTCATCCACACAGACCACAGAATCTAGAGGACATTTTCCTAGTCCCACAAAACAATCTCTGCCTTCAGAGACAATGATTCAACTTGGGTAATAATTCAAGTTGAAAAACTGACCTGAAGAGATGTTTTGCTTTCTCTCTTTTCTAGTGCTGGAATCAAACCAGGGTCCCATGCAAGTTACACAAATATTCTCCACCACTGAGCTGTATTCCCATCTCTCAACTCTTTATTTTAATAAACAATGAATTATTTTATCTACAACTTTAGATTTTATATACCTTGTAAATGTAGTTAAAGAGTTAAAGATTTTGCTTCATTTTGTCTTTCTCAACAAAAGAAGTATACCCTAGCTGTTTAATTTTGTAGATTCTTTGGGGGATCTGTTCTTGCTTGGCCTATAAGTACCTCGCTTTACTAGAAAGAGCACCTCAGTTAACCAGATTAAAGAATTACAGCATGTCACAAAAATGTGACCTTTCTTGAAGTATAAAAGGCAGTTTCCTTGTACATATGTCCCAGAAGTAAGACTCTGGTCTACCACAGACTAGTTACAAAAGCATGCAAGACTAGCTTTTGTGGACGTGTTCTCTAACAGCCTGAAGAGGGCCTGAAAATAAAAGGTCGAGATAGCCCTAATGTCATACCCAAGATGTCCTTGCCTGCAATGTGGGAAATATTGGCATATCCTCCCACCACCATCCTCTGAGAGTTCATTCAAAGTCCCATGTGTTCTTAGACCACCTCCAAAGCTCTCTGTACTCCAGAAAAGGCCTCGGGGTCTTCAGAGTCCAGCCAGAGGGAGCTACTTACAGTTCCAAATGGAATATGACTCAGTGCAAAATCATGATCAATGAGTAGTCCTTCAGTTTCATTGCCCTGCAGGCGAGAGGATGGACAGCGGCCCCTTCCCTCACTACTGTAAGTCCCTCTCCATGTCTAGTCTCTGCCTCTGCCCCTCTCTTCTTCCACCCTTTCGGCCTCTGGATGGAACCAGTGTTTTTTCCTTAGTCACGCAGGCTGAACATCAAGGTCAAGGTGGACTTTTGAGCTTAAAAGAGGCATCGTCACTGTATGTCCCGAGGTGAGCAGAACGTTGCTCCTAGTTGCTTGTATTTACTGTCAAAGTTCTATTGCTTAGACATTTTCCCCCTTCTTTTCTTAGAAAACTGTGCACCATGAAACAAGCAACCCAGAACCACATAAACCAGGTGGCAGGGTGCCTGTGTATCATGTGTCATCCCGGCATGGTGCACACCCACAATTCCAGCCCTCCGGAGGTGGAAGCAGTAAGATAGAAATTCAAAGGCATCCTCGGGTCCATAGGGACTCTGAAGCCAGCCTGGGCTACGTGTCTCGCCTAGAGCAAGGTATCAGATTTAATAACGGAAGGCTCATAAACTAATCAGAGAGCCTCACTTAGCTCCCGAAGCTCTCAGTCAGCTTTTAAAGATGTTTAGGCTGCCTCTTTACACACTCGGTTCTCTTCTTCCCTTCATGGTAGACCCAGCTTTCTCCATGAATGCAAATTTTTACCGTTTTAGGTAATTTAAGTCACTAACCGTCACTTGACTTCAGGAAGATGCTAACAGATATTTCAGTTCAGATTGAAATTTTTAAATCAAGCCAGACTTACACCTCCAATTCTAGCACTGGAGAAGCTAAGAGAACAAAAGAACTGTACTGAGTTTAAGGCCAACTTGAGTGAGTTCTAGGTCAGCTGGGGCTACAGTGTAAGACCCTGCCTCAAACCACAAATGTTAATTTCCAAAGTCCTCTTAACTTAGATTTCCTAGCATGACGATCAACACAAGCATCTTGTTTAAAAAAATAATTCCACAGTCAATGGAGCGACTTTGTCCGGTAGCCTTAATTACAGGAGGGTAATACAGATCCATCGTCTCCCCATATAGAGAAGAGCGCTACTTAGGTAGAAACGATTCCTTTTTTAATTAGAAAACCTATGACTGGAGAAATGGCTCAGGGGTTAAGAGTATTTGCTGCTCTTGCAAAAGATTCGGGTCTGATTCTCAGCACTCACGTGGTGACTCATAACGATCTCAAAATCCAGTTTCAGGGAATATGATGCCTTCTGGCCTCTGGGGGCACCAGGCACACACGTGGTATGCATATACATAAATGCAGACAAATACTCATAAACATAAATAGTTGCTGAAAAGTGTAACAATCTGTTATCAGTGCCACCAAACTAAACAGAATGAAGGTCTTTGTTGAAGAGGTAACACACTGGGTCACTTTAAACCTGGGTCTTTCCCTAGTTAAGTTCACAGATCCAGAGTGGTCCATAATTTACACAGGTTAACAAATAGAAGTTGAAGGTGTTTGCAGAGAAGTATCCCTGAACACAAAGCCCGCACACGTTCTTGTGCTGAGCCGTCAGCACTGAGTAAGTTCCGCAGCATGAGAGAACAGGAAAACTGCAAGGCCTTCATCAGAGGCTTAAAATGAAACCATTTGCTTCATAGCTCTATCTGGAGTATTATGTGGACTTTAAAAGTAAGACTTAAAAGTAATGTCTTTATGATGAGAACATAAAGGATATCAAAATCCAAACCTTAACCCTAAAGAAAACATTGAGTGTTACGTTAAAGACTCAGTAATGTTAGTGAGAAACAATGGGCTCAGAACTGCCATGCCTGTCTGATTATAAATGAAAGAAACACGGCAGCCTGCATGGACATGTGTAATTCACAACCCTTTTCATATATCATTCAATCAACAAAGTGCACTGTAGCCAATGGAGCCCCCTCTGCCAGCTTCTCTGGCCAGTGCGCAGCCTACAGGTCACTATCAAAGCTTGGAGACACATAGACTAATCCTCTAAAACTGTACACATCCGCTGAAGAGGAAACCACAATTTTGTACAAAATGGGCTGAAGTTCCGGGTAGGACAGCATCTGTGGGACCATGTGCCACACCCCAACATTTCTGCTTACTTCCATAGGTGAGGAAAGAGCCAGAGACTCCGGTATCCTGCAATAACCTGAGGACACAGACGTGTTTGGGAACCACTGAGCAGGAACCCAGCAAGATTTAGCGTGGCCTTAGAATAGTAAAGAAACACTTTTGAGCATTTTTTTAACTGAAAATATGAGCTTGATATTGGGAAAGATTTATAAAACTGGTAAAGAGCTTGATTTATAATTACGCTCTCTTGGAAAATATGACCCCACTATTCAAAGCAGAGGAATCTAGAAAGAGGTTGTTTTTAAGAAATCCCCTTGCTCTGGGTTATCTTATAGTATTTGTAATTGACGTAAAGTTACCTAAAAATTTCATTGACATGTTGGAATAGAAACATCATTTAGATGTTCAAAATATAAACACATTACTTTAGGAAAAACAGAAAAAAAGGGGGGAATCATACACACCCAGGGTTATTCAGGAGAAACTAAGTTGAGAACAGTGATTAGTTTCCGTATAAACAGAATACCATTTATTAATTAAAAAACACTATGACATCAGCGGCATGCTACAAAACCTTTCACTGAATCATTGTATCACCATGCAGAGAGGTTCCAGGGAGAAGGGATTGGCTGACCCCAACAATCAGTTCCCATTCAGTCGAGTTCCTTCAATCTTAAGATCTGTGAGTTCCTGTCCTGGCGACTGAGCCAATGGTGTCTAGTTTCTTTTGCCTGAAGAACAGTGGTTCTCAAACTCTTCACATGCATGTAAATTCACCTACGGGTTTGTTAAGCCGCAGATGCCCTTCTTCTGATTCTCTCCATTTGGCAATCTGCGTTTCTAGCAAGCTCCCAGATAAAGCTGCAGCTCTGGGAGCCATAGACTAGAAATCATTGACTTTCAGATCCACCTGCCTTATTGAGCGCTAAACTGAACTGACCCATGGGCTGACCAGTTGGGATTAAATTACTTACAACATTCCAATCCCCGCTCCCAGTTTTATTAGACCAACAATTGATTCTTACACACTAGAAGACAATGAATGTATGCGTTGTACGGAACAGTGAGATAAGTCCAAGCTTCCCGTCTTTGTATTTAGAAACATTAATTCTATGAATGATTGTTTGTATCCTGTTGACCCTTTGACTTGTACTGAAGGTAATCAAATTTATGTGGTACTTGCATTCCTTCCTATATCATTTTAATGAGATGTTTCCATGTATGGCTCCATTATGGCCTGGCTCCTGGCTTACAGAAGTTTTAGTTTTTAAGTAGTTTGCTTGCTTTCAGTTACTTTACATCTTGGATTGGTCATTAACTTATCAGCATTTCAACACGTTAAGACACTTCTGGTGGTACCCTTGTCTTTCACTTAACTGTGTGGTGGAAGTTAGTATTTTAGTTCCATGTTTATCTGTAAAGAGTCTACTAAATGGCTTGGTGGAAATTTTCAATGTGAAACAGTTCCTTTTGAGCAATAGATATACTGGTCTTGCCGTTTCCATAAATATTGTGTTTCTAAAGAGATCGACACAAGGTAAACTAATTCTTATTCAACATGATGGGACAGAGAGGAAAGTCAGCCTGTGTGCTTTGAGAACCCAGTGAAATGTTAACCCAGATACTGAGGGGCCTTAGTTTAAATTTTAACTCTCTTGCCTAGTTAATTAGCTTCAGAGTTCATTTTTGATTAAATCATAAGGACCATACAATAGGAAGAGAAAGAACTGATGATCTGTGTTTTTATTAAATTAAACATCCAAGTAAATTAAAAATCTATTAATGTAATTCCAGCTACTCAAGCTTGCCTGGACAACATAGTGAGATTCCATCTCAAGAATAAATAAGTAAATAAACATGAGTTTTTAAAAGAAGCATAGAAGGAGTCAAGAGAAAAGTAAGTATTCTAAATATTGTCCATTTATAAACTATTAAAATTCCATATAATTTTCATTGACCCAATAAAGTTTATATTTATGTCATTTAGACTATTGTTTGAATAGAAGGCAATCATTCTAGATACTTAAAATCAGTCAAAGCATATCATCGCAATGTTAACGGTGCCAAGAATTCATCTTTGACTTTGTGGTTGTACATAACTGAGTTATTATTTCCTTTTCTTCCCATAACAATTTAAAATTATGCACATTAGTTCCTTTAATTCTGGTTTCAATTACATTTTAAAACTCAGTCTCTACAAAGACTTATTTCCAAACTGTTTCATCAACTGTTGCCAAAACAGAAGAGGGAGAACCTGAAAACCAAGCTAGGTTTTCTCTTAGACTTAGGGAGGCTTAAGCCCTTGACACCACCAGCTAGCAGTGACCATCCACAGCACCTCAGGTCTGTGTTCACCCTCTGCCATCATTTCCCGGGCAGCTCTTTCCTCTGGTCCAGTATGGTAGCAATCAGTTTCCTACTAGGTAGCTACTTTTAGTCAAAGATGAATGATCTGGGTATTTGGGCTTCTCTTCCAGTGAGACCTTGTGGTTAGAATATCATGTGGTCTGATGGGGTGGAGAGGGTACCTAGAGGGAAAGGTTACTTTCCTTTCTTGTTTTGTTTTGTTTGTTGTTGTTGTTGTTGTTGCTTTATTTTGTGTGTGAGTATGTGTTGGAATAAGATGGAGAGCTAAAACTCAAATATTTATTCCTCTAACCAAATGCCAAATGACTTCTATTCCGCAGCGATTTTTTAAGAGGAATAAACAAACAAATTACGTTTTAGATAGTTCCCCTAGTCCTAGCCCCACGTAAGATACAACCACTAGGTAGCAGCATTCCTTTTATCCATTTTTGTATTATACCAAAGAATGAGCTTATTTTCATTAAAAATTATGAATAAATGAAGCTAAGTATAGCCATAGTGATTGAGTAGACTTGCCATTTTACCTATTAAGAGGGAAAATTCATCCTTGCAGCCAGTTCACCAGGAGCCTTGAATTATTTTGTTTACTCCAAAGGCCTTGTCAAGGAAGTATCATTTTTTGTTTTGACTTATTACTTAGCCACATTTACCTTTACAAAGTCCTGAAAACCACTCTCCTTCAAGTGTTGCTATAACTGTCTGGTTTGATATAATCTGTTAGTTCACTGTTTTTTCAGGTCTCTGTAAGCAAGCTTGCAAGTGTATTTTGTGTATATTTTATCTGAAGTGAAAAGCAAATTCTAAAGAGAAAATATTTTAAAAGATACTGTATTTATGTCGCTTGTGTTGTAGAATAAAGATTCAAATGCATCAAAAGTCTGATATGGGAAGCAATTTTCTTCACGTGATATGATTATTTGAATAAATAGCCTGTGTTTATAAGGACTCTGAGCCATGGCATTTTATAACTCCGGGGCAGGATCGTTTACATTCAGTCTTCTCAGATGGCTACAATCCCTCCCTAGTCCTTCTACCTAAAAAAGAATGTTGTAGAAATATAGACCACTGTTTCTGTAGGGGGCAGAGCAAGGCCTGAGTGAAGCCCTGATTGAATGTGTGCTGTTGACCCAGGCACACATCACCTCAAGCGCTCCATCAACTCAGAGGAAAGTAGCAGAGCCTCCTCCCCCTGGGGAGTGAAACTCAGAAGGGAATAGAAGAGTCTTCCTCTGGTGTGTTGATGTTGATAGCGGTGCAGAAAATGTCTACCATGGCTTTCTCCCTCAGGATATTTACGACCCAAAGACTGTTCCCCCTGAATCAGCTCAACCTGTCCCCTTGATCCCGCTGCACCCCATAAACCTGGCCTCCTTGTATATCCATATAGAATAACCCTGTCTCCCTGCTCAATCTTATGTAATAAACCCTCTTACTTCTGAGTGCTGAGAGTTCTCCAGCAAAGAGTCCAGTACACCCAAACCGAGTTTTTCTCCATGTGTCAAGTCTGTGTTTTTTCTTCTTTCCCTCACCAGCCCAGTAAGGTTCATCCCTGGAGCCATGCAAGAAAGATATGGCGATTTGTCTACCTCTCCTTAAAATAAAGATTTTTTCAACATATTCTTTTTAATAACAGATATCAAATTCACATTTTCATAAGTCATAATAGCTATCAAATTTACATAGATATTATATCTTAAAAACCAAATTATTCCCTTTATTTTCTCATACACAAATCTCTATTATTATTTTAATATTGAATGAAATGTAACCACTTCTCATGATCTTAAACTTGGAACTATGTCCCAAGACTGTGTCCTCACACAAAGATAAGCCTAGGTGGGCTGGAGAGATGGCTCAGAGATTAAGAGCATTGCCTGCTCTTCCAAAGGTCCTGAGTTCAATTCCCAGCAACCACATGGGGACTCCCAACCATCTGTAATGGGGTCTGATGCCCTCTATGGCCTGCAGGCATACACACAGACAGAATATTGTATACATAATAAATAAATATTTTTAAAAAATCTTCCTCTATAGTCTTTATCATTATATCATAACCAAGCATTTGAAAAAAAAAAAAAAAAGATAAGCCTAGGTCGTCATCGTCTATCATCAGCTGCTCACCATAGAAAACAGGTAAGAAAAACAAACACAAAATGCTACAGAAACGTAGCCTGTATTTATGGAAACTTCTGTTGTTCTATTACACCCCATGTATCCCAGTGACTTGTGCCATCACCAGTACCATTAATCAAAAAAAAAAAAAATTAAAATACCTGAGCATCCCACAAACAGCAGGGAACCGTGATGACAATGGATAAGGAAGGTCCTACTGTGAAGAATAGAAATGGCCTTGGGACCCTGCCAGCAGAATTCCCAGCCCAGGCGTGGTCCCTACCTGGTAGTGCGAGGCATGGGCACCACTTGGCTACTTCAAGTATAAGGGGTCTGTCAAAATATACCCCAAAAGATACTTTTAAGATAAAATGGAAAGTCAATGACAGCGCTCTATACACATGCTAGTGCCAAGAGAACGCTGTCTGTTCTCTATAGGACAATGACTAGTTTATAACTAGCTTCACTGTCTTGCCAGTTGTTCTACATTGGAAGTTTATGTATATATCATATCGTTGGCATTCATACCTGTCATCATCAATCTTCATTGTCGATGTAACTGGATTTAGAATCCGCATGGAAATACATCTGTGTTTTTATGGGTGGATGTTTCCAGAAAGATGTAACTGAGAAGGATTTATTTTGGCTCATAGTTTAAGGGGATACTGCCCACCATGACAGGAAAAGAATGACGTTAGGGGGTGGGAGTGGGCTGGTCACATTGTGTCCACAGTTTGGAAGCAAGCAAGGATGAAGACTGTTACTCAACACTCTGCCCTATTGCTTTAATCTGGAAGCCCAGACCATAGGACTAGACTGCCCACATCCTAGGCGATTCCTTCCTCATCAAATAAGCCTTTCTTGAAACATCTCAACAGATGGTCATGGAGAGATGTGTTCCTAGATGATTTTTAAAGTCATATTAATAAGAGTTAATACATTACCCATGAATATACCCCAAACAGAACACTTTACATTCTCCCCCGCATGGGACATGCAGGAGTCATCAGCTGAAATGCAGACCTCGCCCATAAATCATTCTACAGATAAATTCAAATAGCCAACCTTCCCGTTATTAATCCCCAGCAATGACTATGCCACATTCGTGACTCTAAATGTATTTCTTTAGAGCAGAAACTTAAGATGCCCCGCATAGTTGGCATATGCTCAAATCTTGTATTATAATTTAGCTCTCATAAATATTTCACATCACTGTAAAAAAAATTCACTTTCCCATATAACTTTAAGGTAGATTAAGTGAAAATAAAATTGAAGCCTAATGCAATAGTGTGGTTTTCACATATTGACCGGCATCCCTGCTAGCTCAAGCTTCAGAAGCCTATTTCTCTCTTGTTTGTCTACTGACGGACTCCTAATTATGGTATCAAGTCATTTGTGCCCCAAGTCTGGCCTCTGAACTTATTCCCGTTGCTCAAAATGTTTTGTTATCAGAGAAACACACTCTCAAGTTTGAATGCTCTCATTCAAACCCCGAGATTGCAATGGCAGAGTTAAACCGAAGCATTTAACTATGTTCTTTTTAAGGACTAGAGATTGAAAGTTTCTACTGCAACATGGAAGGATCAAATGCCCAGCAGTTCAGCACTCAGGACTCCAGTGCAGAGTTTAAGTCTTTGCTAGGGCTTCCTGGTCTTCTTCCGACCAGTGTGGTCTTTACCACCCTGGAGCTCTGATTACACAAATAGCAGAGAATGAATAGCTGTCACAGAAATTAATCAATTAGCTGTCACATGGGAGGCAAAAGCTTCACCAGAACTCAACTTGAAAATATGAGAATTGAGGCTATCTTGTAAATCATAAAGGAACGATATTATTGGCTGCATAGTAGCTTAAAGTTAACGTCTCAGGGTTTGTTTCAAACTGCTCCCCCCCAGAGTCATCAAGTCAGAGAACACATGTCCTCTTCTAAAGTGACAATGAGTTATAAAATAATACTCTCATGATGCTTAAGCAAAAATTTTTTCCAAGCAGAAGGGATATATTATCTATTACTAAAGAGCTCTCACATTAAATCCACCTAGAAATTCTTCTTGGAAAACCAACTGAGCGTCACTAATGTTTGTTGTAAGCACAATCAAGGACATTTGGGCAGCAGGGTCTAGATCCCACCCACTAGGCAGGAGCTCCTTTGGCACAGATAATCCATACATATTGGTTTACCCCATGCCTCAGCCTCCATTCTGCTACCTCCTGGAAAACTTAAGACACTTTTCATCTTCTCTTTGCCAGAGATCTATTTTCTCCTTTATTTAGCTAAGCAGCAAAGAGACATCTTCAATTCCATGTGAATTATTGTCGTATATAACCTCAGAACATTACAGTGTTCTGCTCTATAAACTTCCTAAGGATTATGACAGGCTCACACCAGTTTGTAGCATGTCAGTCCCCATCAATGCCAAAGCTCATCTCTACTGCAAAGTTCTCCCACATTGGCTCAATGACCCAGACATTCTCAAATTTTAATATCTTTAAGAATCAACAGTTGTTGATAAATAAACTTGTTGGTGCCCAGGTCCTCATCCACAATGTTTAGCTAGAAATGCTCAGATTTCTGTGTCAGGATGGATTCCTTAAGTAAAAATTTAAGACTAATGGAGGTTTAAAACATTGACTTCAAATCAGAAACATTTTCAAAAAGTAAAAACAGAGAAGACAGTACCTAGAAATGAAATGGATATATTTCAAATTCATTAGGTTTCTATCCAGGTCAGCTCCTTAATAGTGAATATAAAACAACCCTTTAGATGTCCGGAATTAATTTCACTGATAACAATTATGTTAATGTCTATTCTACAATGTTTACCAATATTGGCTATGGTTTTACCAAAAATTGTTGTATACGTAGTCAACCTGATTTAGCACCACAACATTAACCAAGACAGTATGAAATAATCTGAGTAAATTGTCTCTATGATATCAGCGATAGATCATCAACTCTTGACCATTTAATTCTTACCTCTTTTTTTCATTTTAAGAATGAACTTATAGGCAAGCAGAACCTGGAATCACATGTCCACAATAATAGCGCAACAGAGGCAAAACACAAGGATCACAAGTTCAAGGCCAGCCTAAGCTACGTGGCAAGACTCCATCTTTCAAAATAAAATTTAAAAGGGGTGGGGGCAGAGTGAATGTTCAAGCTACTGACGTGATTGTTTCCTTCAGCTCTCTCAGAAGGAACAAGAGTCTCTGGTATTTCAAGTTTAACCAGCCATAAGTAAGAGCCTTGAACTGCAGGCTGGAAGGAACCCTCAAATCTATATTCTGCCTATCTCAATGCTCAGAGCAATTTTATTTTCCTAGACCCTTTCATTCTCATCAGCAGCATTCAAGATACATTTTCCAGGTCACCTTTGACAGGTGAAGAAAATAAAGGCTCCACTGCTAAAATCTCTTCCCTGGGGAATGTTAGCAGTGTCTACTCCTCCTCCTAAAGTCAAAGTGAGGTACATTCTACAAAAGTTCATGCTGAAAACCCAGCAAGCTTATTAGACTTAGAGAGCAGTGGGTGAGCGGCTATGGGCAGGGGTGTGGGAGGGTAGAAAGTCTGCATCAGCATGCAAGGATGACCATGCTACACAGATGAGGAGCGCCCCAACTCCTTAAGTCTTCCCAGCCTATATACTCTGGTCCCTCCCTGGGGTCTCATGTAATTAGCGAAGAATTGCATACACCTCTTTGGAAGAGTGGCCCGATCCCAGTCCATTGGCCATACCTGCCCTTCCTCCTGTGAGTCAACAGTC